AAGTTGGAAACCAAAGTGCTGACCCAGGTGCAAGAACAGATATTGCTTAACAACTGCGATGAAACATGCAGATACTATGTTTGTACTGTTCAGACGAACTATAAATGACTATTCTTGTTTCTACAACCCCGGTATTAAATATCATATAAACATAGATGGCAAATATTATCCAAGAGAAGAATATTCTACAGTTGAGGATATGAGGTCATACAACTTGACATTAGATGCTATGAACTTTAACAACAACTTCACAACAACTATTAACCTGAAATGCAAAGTTCTATTATGCCATATGTGAAAGTATGACTCATACAGGAGGTCAAAAAACTCAATATACAAATGGAGACCGTTCAAACTTTTGGCTTGGCATTCCATTTGCTGACTCAGAAGACTTTATGGGTGGTATTTCAACTGTTGGTACAGTTCAAATACAATATACTGGTGACAGAGACGGTCCAGATGAATTGAGAGCAAAGAAGTTTACAAAACCAATAGCACTTTTCACGGAAGATGCTCTTTTGAAGATTCGTTCGATGAAACCTGCTGGGGCTCCTCAGATTGGCATAACGACAGCTTCCATCGAGCAGATTTTGGCAGCAGGTCAGTAAGTTGTTCTTGAACTGACTTCTCTCCGTCAAATATTGACAGTACGCCAGTTTTGACATAGTATTGTATTATAAACTTACCTTTAGAAATATCTGTAAGTTTTGTTGTTATATTTTTGTCAACGTCAAGAACTTTCACCATTTCAGTTATACCAACTTTCTTTGCTTTATGAAAATATTTTGGTTCAGCAAATATTGCTATTCTATAACATTTTCCATTGTTTGTGTAAAGAACTATTCTGTCAATGTATTTGTATTGTTTGTGTGTGTAAACTTTGTTTTGCTTCAATTCGAAGAGATACTCGAATACGTCCATCTTTTTATTCTAAGTAAAAATGTCATTTCCGAAAAAAATAGAAGCGTGAGTGTTTCAAAAGGTTTAATGGCGGTGGCAGATGTGAAGTTAAATTCACCAACTCAAACAAACAGTCAAAGTGTTGTTGTCAATGTCAAAGAAAGAGATGTTGAAGTGGGGAAACCATACGAAGACGAAGATGGTATAACAATAGTTCCTGTAAAAGAACAACCAACATACCCTGAAGTTAGCAGAGACTTAAGTTCTGTTGCAGATATTCGAAACGACTACCAACAACTGAAAGACAAACTTCAAACTCAGGAGAAGATTTGTCAAGCTTTAAGTATAATGTTAAACTTGGTCGAACACAACCCTGTAAAAGTGAACTCATATGTCATCGCACCTCGTGAAGTTTTGAAAGAACTATTGAAACTTTTGACAGAGGCAGACGATATAAACATCAAAAGAATAGAACCCGACATTGCTTGCTGTGGGTTTTCATATAATGTCATTGACAAGATATACGTTATGAAAGGAGGTGAAACGTTGAACTTAAAATATAGTTTCCCAGACGTCATAAAAATATTTGACGACCACAACATTTCATTAAAATTTAGTTGCTAAGTAAATGGCAGAAGACATAGTGGTTTATACTATTACGACTAAAAACCCTGAGTCATATAATTCTATAACAAACAAACTTACAAAGTCCTCAAGGACGATATTGTAAACTGACCTTAAACACGATGACGACTAAAGCCTGTTTGCTCTTTTGACACCAGAAGACTTTGTTGTTGTGAATGGTAAAAAATACTTCTTTGAAGATACTTACTCAGATATACCACCAACAGGTTTTGTTGACTTATTTAATACTTTAAGGACGGATGTAACATGTGCTGCAACTAGAGCAGGTTTCATTATGTTTGGATGTCCGACCGAGTTTAGTATAAACGATATGAGCTATAATACAAAACTTATATCTGGTTTTTACTACCAACAGTTTCCTATAACAGGAAAAGGTGTCATACAAGGTTTTGTCTGTTCCATTGACTTTAAGTACACCTATTTTATATATTGTTTCAAACTTAGGTTCAAAGTGCTATTCGAATGTCGACAGAAACTACTATGACCAAAAGATACTCATGCGTATAAACAAACACTTTCTCTGCTGGTTTGCCTATTGTTCATTCGAATGCAGAGTTTTCAGCTTTAGTAAACTCAAACACTTTAGCAAACATAAACTTAACCTTAGTCGACGCAAACTTTGTTCCTGTAAAACTTTTATGTCCGATGTATTTGTCAATGACGGCAGAAAGTTTCGAATTGGAAGATGCAACTGGTGAAAGTATTGTACTACAAGAACAACTTCAACAACAAAAATAGCTCAAGAACAACAAATGCAACAAATAGCTCAAGAATAAAAAAAATATTTTTTTTTTTTTATAAAAATGTACAGAATAGATGTTTCAGATTTTTATGACTTCCAAGCGTTCAGAAATATGTGTCCATTTAGAGACTATAACAAAGCAGTCGAGAATTTGAAACGTTTAGTCATTTATGTCGACTCTGCCCCAGAATGTTATGTCATGAAAGAATGGGATGTTGTCTTTAACAAACCAAGAGCGACAATAGTTTCAGAACAAGAATGTAGACAGAAACTTAAGAAAATAAAAGTCGTACAAGTTGGCATGAAGATGTTAGATGCTTGGGATATCTTATTGTCAAAGTTAGAAGATTTTTCAGTTCGTGGTTAAAGTTCTATACACCTTCTCCAAACTTCTATTCTATCTTCACTGGATATAAATATGAACAAGTAGAATGGAAAGAAAATATTATAGAAGCTTGGTTAGACCATGTCAAAGAAATTATATGCAATGGAAACGAAAGAGTCTATGAGTATATCTTATGTTGGTTTGCAAACATCTTACAACATCCAAGTGCTAAAAATGAAACTGCTCTCATTATAATTGGAAAACAAGGAACTGGTAAGAATACTTTCTTTACAGATATTTTGTGCAAACTGTTAGAGGGCTATTCGAATCCGAATATGACAAACTTAGAAAACATCTGCGGTAAATTTAACTCTTCAATAGAGAATATGAAACTTATAGTATGTAACGAACTTCAAAGTATAGATACAACAAAAGTTTTGAACTCAGATGCTTTGAAGAGTCTTATAACAGACAAAGTTGGAGTTGTTGAAAGAAAGTATAAAGACCAAAGAGTTTGTGAAAATGTTGCAAATTTCATCATGGTTTCAAACAACGCCGTTCCGATGAAGTTAGAAAGTTCTGACAGAAGATATGTAGTTGTCAGAACGTCAGATTCTCATATGCAAGATACAGAATATTTTGACGACTTAGCAGAAACTTTGACATCTGACTTTTACAACCACTTGTTCTCATATTTCATGACATTAGATATTTCAAAGTTCAATCCAAGACAAATTCCACATACCGAAGAAAGACAAACATTGTTAGAAGCAAACAAGAGTGTATATGAACTGTTCATAGATGAAACTGACTTTGTGTCATTAGATGAAAGGTCATTGTACGATGAATATAAACAATATTGTCAAGAATATGGTTATATGACAGCGTCTAAACGAACATTCTTGGCAAATGTCAAAAATCTTTTAGACGTTCAGAACGGCGTATATACAAAGAAAAATTTTTCTGAGTAAATTTAAAAAAAATATTTTTTTTATCCGATAGAAAAGATGACGAAATATATTTCAGTAAATAAGTACATGACAGAAGTCAAAGAAGAACTAGACCCATTCGCTTATTTGAATGTTTACTTCTACCATTTTGAAAAGTCTTCATTCAGCAAAGTTTGGAACATCGAACCGGTTAAGTTTGCTGTTGTTAGAAAAAGTGGTGCAACTTTTGAAGACTTAGACATAGAAGGTTTGTTAGCAGTCAAAGAAAATTTTGACAGAAAGTTCTCAAAACTCGAAGAAGGTAAAGCATACAAACTTGTTATACCTTATGAACCAAAGAAAGCAGACGACTATGAATATTATGAGTCTAAGATAGTTGAAGTTCAAGGTAAATTGGGTAAAAAGATTTTAGAGTCTAAGCCAGTGTTTGCTCCGAAAGAGGAAGAGAACATTGACATTGACCCAGAAATGTTCTAAAAATAAAATTTTATTTTTACATGTCAAATTTCTTTTTCTCTGGAATTGGTTCAGGTTCTTTCTTCTCTTCTTCTACTTTCTTTTCTTTCTTTTCTTTCTTTTCTTTCTTTTCTTTCTTTTCTCTCTTCTTCTTCTTCTCTGGTGGAGTTATGTCAAACTTCTCAGAACCATATTTCTGTAAAAGTTCTTTGTCCTGTAATAGCTCATCTATTCTGTTTTTTATTTCATCTTCAAGAACAGCGCATGTGTCTTCTTTGCATTCTAAGAACTTTTGTTGGACTTCATCTTTCCAAGAGGCGTCATCTCTGTCAACAAGTCTGTCATTGACAAACTTAAAGACTTCTCTGCCTAATGTTTTATGGTTCTTGTCATATTCCCAGAAACAGAACTTTAGAACAAATTCACCTTTCTTGTTTACACTATGTAAGATTTTATGGTCGACAGATGTTTTGCTGTCAAAAAGTTTGTCTCGAATATAGATAGCGAAATCGCTAGACATTTTCTAAAAGATAAAATTTTTAATTTTTCTAAAAATATGTTAGAAAAAAAGTTTGCTGACATTGACAAGAAATTTGAGAATGTTTTAAACAAGAACAAGAGGAAGTTAGAAAATGCTCAGATAAAACCCATACATGACAAGTTCCTATTTGCTCAGAATGGTATAACAGGTCTAATCGCACCACCTGGGTCGGGTAAGACTTTCACTTATCTTAAAATGGCTGCCAACAACAAAGAACTAGATGAGAAGAACCCATTCTATGAGTTAGTTGTCATTTATAGTACTTCTGGTCAATTTGACCAAACCGTAAATTCGTTCAAAGATATTATAAAAAAGTCTAAGTTAGTATGTATAAAAGACTCTGAGTTGTTAGATTGGATAAAGAAGTACCAAAGAAGAGTTTTGAAGTACAATGCTATAAATGAGTATATAAATTCGAAGTTTAAAGACCCAAATGAGGAAATGCAGAGAATATTAGAGAAGAAACACTTCAGAAACAAACAGAAAGAGATAGAATACATTTCGAAGAAATTGCAATCGTACGATTGGAAGACTTACCCTCATAGATGTCTTCTTATTTTAGATGACTTTGCTTCTCATCCTTTGTTAAAGAACAGAGAACAAGATATGTGTCGAATTCTTAAGAAGCTCAGACACTTTAACATCTCAGTCGTAATATGTGTACAGACAGCAAAGAGTTTAAGTAAGGATGTTAAAAGAATACTTACTGACATTGTACTCTTCCCCGGATTGTCCGAAGACGATTTCATGGAACTTATGAAAGAGTCCATGGCAGGTAAGTTTGACAGACATGAACTATGGGAGAAGTACAAAGTCATACAAGACCCTCATACTTCTTTCAGAATTCATATCTACGCAAACAAAGTTCAAATTGTAAAAAGTCAAGCTTGAAAAATAAAGAGTTTGGTCTTAGTCTGTTGTGGTTCTGCAGCTTTCGGTTCTTCTGGCTTTGGAATGGACTCGGTTGGTGGTACGTCGGACATTCGTTTGTGTCCTGTCGGAAGGAAGAGTTCTTCCAGTTGTCGGGAAATTTTTTTCCAGTTGTCGGGAAATTTTTTTCCTGTCTGAAGGAAAAATTTTTTCTGTCGTTCGACCAAAAAGTTCTCAATTTTCGAAAATTTGAATGGTTTACGGACGGACAACTGGAAAATTTTTTCTTGTCGTCGGGAAAAATTTTTTCTGTCGGAAGGAAAAACTTTTTCTGTCGGAAGGAAGGACTCGGAATGCCAGAAGGAAGGACTCGGAATGCCAGAAGGAAGGACTCGGACAAGACAATTTACCTTATAGAGCTACCTGAGCCATCTGAAGTCAAGCTTGAAAAATAAATGGTTCATCTACTCTGCTTGTTTGAAGTTGTCAAAATACTCTGTTATTTTTTCTTTCAGTAGCGGTAAATCTTCTTTGAAGGTAAGTATTGTACAACCTTTCATATCATAGTGTGTTTGAGGTAAAGTATCTTGAACTATTTGTTTCACATCTTCATTTGGGGTCATTGAAATCGGTAAGTTTTCGCGATAGAACCAATTTCTGTCAGATTTGTAAATCTTAGCAAGGTCGTAAAAGCTTTTGTTGTTTCTTCTGACTAAATGCAACATAACCATATCTCTGTCTTCTTCATTTTCCATCTCTTCAGTATAAATCATATACTTATAGTTCTTTTCCTTTCCTTTTGGTACCGAACGTGGTATTCTTTTCTGTATGTTTTTGTCTTTTGCTTCAAGCTTGTTCTCTAGCTCTTCACGTTCTTGTCTGTGAATTTCATCTAACATCATGAAAATATAACAAGCGTAACGAGGCGAAGCCCACATTGCAACAGCATTTACAAGAAGTCTATGTACATAATATCCTCTCAAACCGTTTGGCAAATTTTGACGATTTTCGTACGGAATCTCGACCCGCGGTTTTTTACCGGTCGCAAACATATGAGGAAATTCTTCTAAAAGTTCTTTTGTCTGTTGGTTTTCAAACCAATGACGTGCTTGCTTTGTAGAACGAAGAGCATTCAAAATACTTTGCATTTGGTACATGTCATCTTTGACCGAACGAATGAGACGGAGTTGTTTGTTAAACTGTATGTACTCATATTCTTCATCTATGGCTTCATGGACTATAACTGTTGTTGTGTTCTCTGTTGTTGACATATCTGTCTTTACATACAAAATAAAAAAATAAATAAAATAAAACTAACTTTATTTTTTCTATCTTAAGGAAATTCATGATTTTCATCGTAAATGTTTTGTCAAGACTTCTTCGTAAATGTTTTGTCAAGACTTCTTCGTATATGTTTTGTTGAGATTTCTTCGAAATGAGCGTAAATGACCCAAAAATATATTTTATGTTAGAATGTTAGATCTAACATGTCTTCTAACATGTTTTCTAACATGGTCTAAAACACACAAAACTCATGAAATTTCATACGGAATTCAATAAAAATATATTTTATGTTAGAATGTTAGATCTAACATGTTTTCTAACATGTTTTCTAACATGGTCTAAAACATACAAAACTCATGAAATTTTACTCAGAATTCAATAAAAATATATTTTAGGGTAGAAGGTTAGATCTAACCTGTTTTCTAACCTCATTTCTACCCCAGTTATTTTATAAGCGTTTTACATGGTAAACATTGTGAATTCGTGAAATTCTAAACAATTTCGTAGCTTCTATTTCTTCTGTCAGTACATCGAATGTTTTAACTATGCCGAATGTTTCTTTATATTTCTTCTTGACATCAGATAGAAGGAAATCGTCAGCTGTTGGATAGTTTTTGTTCAGAAATGTCAACATGTCCATTTTATCTTCTGCTGGTTTCTCTACTTCTTTCTTTAAGTCAGCATAGTCGTTTCGCATACGTTCTATCTCTTTGACGGAGTAGTTATATTTCCTCATTGCTGCTTTACATTTTGAACATTGTGGGTTCATTTTAGCATTGTACATTGAAATCTTACCTGCTAGTATGACTAAGGCGTCAATTGCTCTCTTTAACTCAAAAGTTGCGGGTTTTATCTGTTCATTCCATATCTTACCTCTTCTATCTTTATCTCTTATCTGCCATACACATTTTGCAACTAACGAAACAAAGTTGTCGTAGGTCTTAAACTCCCCAGATTTGTATATGTCAGAGATGTTCTTATATACCATATCGCAATCTTTGTCCATGACTTTGTGGTTGCAATGAAATCCAAGAAACTCATAGTTTACCTTTCGTATGAACTTCTTTATTTCTACTGAGTCAGTTGCTTTGACTTCTATTTCATCGAATTCTGGAATAGTGAGTTTTTGTTGTTGGATTTCAGGAAGTTTAGGTAGATGGTCAATAATATCCTGCATTTCATAAAGATACTGTTCATTTTCTTCATCTTTCGCACTACAGTCTAAATTACTTGTTAAAAGTTCTTGCTTTATCTTCTGGATTTCTGTTTCAAAAGTATATGAAGAAGGAATGAAGCTTTTCATCTCTACTAACATAGATGTTGGATTCATGACTAAAGAGTTTGGTGAAGTTGTTGCTAACATGTTCTTACAATAAAAATAAAAAAATATTTTTTTAAAAAAACCAACTTTATTTTTTATGTTTTTTATGTTTTTTGTGAAAGTGTCAAAATTCAAGAGTTTTGTGTGTTTTCTACGATGGTAGAAATGAGGGTAGAAATGAGGTTAGAAATGAGGTTAGATCTAACCATCTACCCTAAAATATATTTTTATTGAATTCAGCAACAAAATTCAAGAGTTTTGTGTGTTTTCTACGATGGTAGAAAAGAGGTTAGAAAAGAGGTTAGAAATGAGGTTAGATCTAACCATCTACCCTAAAATATATTTTTGTCTGAATTCAGCAACAAAATGGTTCATTTACTCACAATATTTTTGTACAAAACGACCCCAAACTTTTAACTTCTTTTCTGCAGCTTCTAATGAAATTTTAGCGAGTTCATATTCTCTAAATTCTCTCTTTAAATCTTCTTGTTCCCATTGGTCTAGTTCGTATGGAGAATCTCTATAACCAGAACATATCTCACGTTCATGTTCTATTTGTTTTTCATGCATTTTTCTAACTTCTTGTTCGAACAAAGGTTTTGCATTCTCTACTGTATCTTCAAGTTCTTCTTCATCTAATTTCTCATGAACTTTCTTGTCTATGGAGTCCAGAATTTTTCCAACTGCTATACAATATTTTGGAGAAGCCCACATTGCTATATAGTTTACGAGTCTTGGGTCTACATACATTCCTCTAACCTGTTTGATTTCATCCGGAATTCCTGCATGAATTTTGTATAAAAAGCAACCCGCTGTTTTCCGCGGGTTGGTATATTCTTCACAAAATGCCTTAAAATACTCTTCCCAGGACTTATTTTCCAACAACCTTCTAAAGTCTTTCCTAAACTGCTGACACATCTTTGTTGCATTTATATAACCATCCTTGTCTCTACGTAAGACTTCAATACCGTTGTAAGTGCCTTTTGTGAATGTTTCGCCATTAGATTTGTTCGTGAACGTTTTTGCTTCGACTGTCATACTGTTCTTACAATAAAAATAAAAAATATTTTTTTAAAAAAACCAACTTTTTATTTTATTTCGGGAAATTCATGAAAATTCAACGGGTGAGAAAACGTGTTAGAAAACGTGTTAGATCTAACATGCTAACATAAACATTATTTTTCAATACTTTTTCAGCACTTTTCCGTAGTTATATATGAAAGACAATTCGAGATAAAAGTCATAGTACAATGGTATAATATGCTGCACACCGTTTGTTGTGAACCAGACTTGAAAGTCAGAGAAACTGTTACTAGGTGGTTCGTAGAATTTAGAGGTAAGGTCATAAAAGTCCTTACCAATACAAAGAAAACTGTTGTTGCTTGAACTGAAACTTGCATGACACATAACATTTTGAGGGTCGAACACGTTTCTATAAACTGTCAAATTTGCTGGTGGACGTATAAATTTAAACGGACCGTCAGGTGGTAATGGTTCGTTCTGGTTTAGTAACCGAAGAAATTGTGCCCAAGAACGTTTGTCTACCTCCCAAAATAAAAACTGTGTACTTCTTGGAGGGTTATTTTCAATCCTTTGAAATGAAACTGTGGAGTTCATCTTGTCATATTCTAGCTTCAGATAGTACGTTCCGTTTAGTAAAGAGTCGTATTTTTCTTGAAATTCCCAGTAGTATTTGTTTATTTGAGTTTGAAAGTCATTTAGAGTTTTTTCAAGACTTTCGTCTGAACGAACTGTAAAGATTCTCATTTCGTCAAATTTGTCTATTAGACCATCAGAACCTTCATACTGCCCATGAAAATATACTGCGAACATAAAAGCGTTCGTTCTTTTTGAAAACAAAACTCTTCTAAATCCTATTGCCTTTGCATCTGAAGGACTTTGAAGCCAACGAATTGGATAATCAAACCTGTAAGCTCCGGATGAAATTTCTTCATCTGAAAGATTCCTACCAGCATTTGTAAAGATATAGTCTAACGGTTTTGTATCTGCTACTTTTGTTCTTTGTTTTTCAACCTGAAACATTTAATATATGTAAAAATATACTGTTTTAAAAAACGTTTTAAAATGGTATGCCATATAGCTTCTTGAATTTGTTAAGATATAGTCTAACGTTTTTTCCATCTGTATCTCTAGCGTTTACAAAAGCATAGTCTTCCTTAGTAAAACATACTTGTAATTTTCTATAGTTTACGCCGGTATAAAAGTAGAAAGAGTCCTGTTCTTCGCTATAGTAGTAAAACTCAAACGTATGCTCGCCATAGTCTGTAATTTCAATTGCTTCATCTTCTAGTTCGTCGACAAATTCGAATACAATATCTCTAAACTTACCTTTGTTTTATTGTTTTCAGAACAAGTGACCCAACGTAAGTTTTCAAGTCTATTGTCGTTTCTTATACGGTTTATATGGTCTACAAAAGGTAAATTGTTAGGGTTCGGTATAAAATGAGTTGCAATGACAATATGTTTAAGATAGCGTTTCCCACCCATCTTCATAATAGCATATCCTTTATTTCCCTCCCATCCGCTTAAAACTCTTTTTGTCTTTTTGTTTCTGACTTCAAAAGGCTCAGAACAGTGAATTTCATATTTCTCATCTAACAAACAAGTTTCCCAACGGTCTTTTCCGACAGACTCAGCGTACATTTCAAATAAAATAAAAAAATATTTTTTTAAAAAAATGTTTTATTTCATGCAATGTTTAACTATTTCACCATCTTCTTTAACACCCCAGTACTTACGCTTGGAGAGGACATGAACTTCGGTGAAAATTTTGTCCAATTTGAATTGACCCATCTTTTCACCGACCATTCCCATTTCAATGAGTTTGTTATAGCCTTCTTCGTTCGTCATGAGCGCATCGATGTTCTCATAGTAAACCTTCACTTTGGATTTAACTTCGGAGAAGAATTTGTTGTAGTTGTCAAGGACTGCCTTTGCGAACTGAGGGTAAGACCAATGTTCGACAATAGGTTTTAATGTGGTTACTAAGCCACTTTGACCTTGAGTGAATTCGTACTTCAAAACAAAAGGGGAGAACCTTTCAACAAAGTTGTCGACCTTCTCATAGTGTTTACTCTTCATCTCTTGAGGTTTCTTAATGGAATATCCCCATGTCGAATTCATAAGCAATTTGAGTGTCATTGCAAGTTTGGGGTTTGAAGCTTTCCTAATATCATACAGTTGTTGTATGACTTTTCCAACTGTATAGTTCCTTCCGGGAACTCACCATCTTCGTTTGGAATTCCAGTCGGGATATATTGGACAAACCTCATGTATGCAGCGTTAAGGTCGACATAGTATATCTTTTCATCTGAGTCGAACTTGTCGCAACCAATTGGTCCAGTTTGTGGAAATTCAAGTGAGTCTCTTATCTTCTGAGAAACTTCTCCTGTTATCTCATAAACATCGTCGAAGCAACCTGTTTCATATAAAACCTTCTGACCTAACTCAGATGCTCTCCAATACAATTTGACGTCAATTGGATGTCTCAATGGAAGTTTGTTTATAGCATCTTGAAGTTCTTGCAACCTCATTGGAAGTTCTTCTGGTTTCAGGTTGGTATCCGAACAATCCAACTCCTTTTGGAATTGTGTACTTCTTTTGTACTAGAACTTTGTCTGGAACAACTTTTGGTCTTGCTAACAATGAAAAGTTTGTTTCGTCTTTTGGTACAAAAGTTTCTGTCAGCTTGTCATCTGGAATTGGTTCCAACAAACCTTTCTCGAAAAGAATGTTAACAGCTCTGACAATGTTGCACTTGCCTTTTCCGAACAATGGGTTTGTAAGACTTTCGTTCAACATGAAGTGGTTGTGGACAATTACAATCTTCAACCATGGTAAGTCTTTGTCAACAACATAGTCGTCATGTGAAGAACCTTTAGCTGTAGGTATGTTGACTCGGATATTGACATTTGCCAACGGTGCAACTTTTGCCAATTGACCTCTAAGAATGTACCTTGTCTTCACACATGACTCAAGATACTTCATCTTCTCATCTGTAACAAGACCAGAGTTCCTGAGACATGTAAGAATACAAGGTTCATTGACAATTGTTTCAATTGAATTGTAAATTCCATACCTTGTCAAGTCAATGTCAGACTTATTTATGAACGGGAAGTATCCAGCATGTTGTCTGACTGCTTGAGGGTTAGGTTGGTACCATTCAAATTTTACACTTGCAATTCCTTCAATTGCATTCAAAATGTCTGAGTCGGAGTCAAACATTTGTTCTCTCTTTGTAGTCTTGAAAGCGTCAAGAAGTTGTGCGGCTGTTGTGACATTGCCATGTGCATAGTAAATGTGACCGTCCAAATCTGTTACGGTTAGTCTGAGATTGTATCCTTTCTTATTTCCGTCTTGTATGGCAGCAAGTACTCCCATGAAGCCTTCTTTGTTCTTTCCTTCGTCAAAGTTTACTGTAAAGGTTCGACCAGATGTAATTTGACTTCTAACTTCACGGTACTTTTCATATGCATATCTTGTTCTTTCCATGGGAGCATGTTTGTCTTCACCTTTTCCTTTTTTCCTTCTCAAAGGATACAATTGTTCGTCATGTTTCCAATAGAATCTGGCAAAGCCGTCGTGTCCTTCAACTTGCGGTTCAGAAACATCGAAAGGCATGTCCATAAGACGTTCTTCTTCTAACCTCTCTAGTCTGTTTGGATAATTTGCGCGTGCTGTTTCCAATTCCATTTCGTAGCGAAGACCAGACAATTTGTCATAGACTTTTATGGGTCTTCCCTTCCTATATTTAAAATTCTTCGAAACTTTCCAACCATATCTTTGCAACTCTGCTTTTATTCTAGCAGATTTTCTATCCATTCTATATGGGGGCATTTTTATAAAAATAAAAAAATGTTTTTTTCTTTACTTTACATAACCACCGGCTGCCATAAGTCTTTGACGCCAACCCATACCAGCTAATGAAGGTTGACTTGGTTTAGTATTGAAACTAACCTTTGGTTTTGGTTTATCTTCAGTTTTTGGCTTCCCTTCTTCTATTGGTTTTTCGTCACTTTTCGGTTCCTCTGACTTTACCTCACCTGCAGGAACAGTTGTGTCGTCAACATCTTCATAAATATCATATGCCATTTGTTTTTGTTTTCCTTTCAACTTTTTGTGTTTGTTGTAAAGTTTAGAATATTTCGACTCTAAGTCAATGAGATGTTCTATAATGAACTGTTGGTCAGTGAAGTAAACTTTTCCATCTGTTGTCTCGAAAGCTCCTTCAGACTTCAATATTTTATTTGTGAGAGTCTGTTTCTTTTTTGAGATACTAGCCGTTCCATTTCTATGAAAAGTGACTTTATAGTTAGGGTTTGTATTTCCAGACCTGGCACTTTCTATTATTGAATTTTTCTCTTCATCTGTAAGTTCTTTGACAGGTTTTGACAATGGTTCTGAACTTTTTGTTTGTGGTGTCAAATCTACCGTTTCAACTTCTTCGGTCATTTCATCTCAGTAAAAAATTTTAGTTTGGTTTGTTTTCAACTGGTTGTTGTTGTTTTTTAAGTCGGTCTAAAACTTCCTGAGGTATAGGAAGAACTTGACAAACACGTTGTGTAACTGCTGGAAGTCGACAAATCCATCTTGAACCCATTTGTCTCAATGCTGTATTGTTCATTTCATCCTAGTTAAAAATTTTACATTCCCCACGTTTGAGGCGGTTGAGGTTGGTTATTGTTTACCCATTGTTGTGCATGGTTATATCCTCTGTTAAAGAATCTTTCACCTTGGTCCATATAGTGTCCTGCTTGGTTATAGTAGTCATTTGCTTTGTTATAATAGTTTCCTGCTTGTCTTCCTACATTGTCCATCCATCCTTGAACTTTTCCTCTTGTTTCAGGATTTGGAATAAGATTTGCTGCATCTCGTGCTACATCCCAACCTTTCTGTACAGTTTGTATAATAGGTTGTGCTTTCTCTTTAAGTATACCTAATGTACTCAAAATCTTCCTTCCAACTCCAAATACACCTCTGGCTATTGTTCCCACTGCGGGTAAAAATCTAGATGCAACTCCTGCTAATGCGCCAAATAAACCCATTTCTTATGGGTTAAAAAATGACGAATCCAAACAAGGACCCCTATGTTTCTAAGGCAACAAAGAAAGCACTCATGATAAAAATCTTTAGTTCAACACCAAATGCTTGGTTTATGGATATCTTGGAAAACATTCCGAGGTATAGAGAAGATGGACCACCATACTGGCTAATATTTGTCGGTCAAAACACAAGATACTGTGAAGCCATACCATTATGGTCCAAAAATATTTTAGATGTGAAAACTGCTTTGACAATATTCGTTGACAAATACCATCCAACAAAACTGACATCTGACTGTGAAAGTTCTTTCAAATCAGATGATATTAAAAACTATCTGCGTTCAAAAAATGTAAACCAATATTTCATTGTCGACCAAAACCATTCTGCTCTTGGTGTCATTGACAGTTGTATAAAAATCTTAAGAGACTTAAACCAACCACAAGGTGGTGAAGCAAATGAAATGTCATATGACGACAAGTACAGACACTTCTCCATGGCAAAGATGAGACAAGTTTTAAATATTTACAATACCCGTAAACAAAAAGGTTTGGGAAACCACTCCCCGAAGAAAATGAAAAACAAACCCTGACTTAGAGAAAGACTATATATTTAACAATTTAGTCAAAAGAGACAAACAAGAAAGAATGCCAGGCTTCAAACTTAAGAAAGGTGACAAAGTAAAAATAGAAATACCTAAACGCGACCCATATGAAAATACTATTGACTATGACAACAATGGGAACCCGACAGGTACTCACATTCGTGTTCGTAAAAATAGAAGAAAGTATACAAGAGAATATTATGAAGTTTTAGGCAAACATGGCAAAATGTACAGACTGCAAGCAGAAGATAAAACTACTATTGTCAGACCTCGTTTCAAACTTGTCAAAGTTCAAGGTGGTATACTTTCAAAGACAGTTCCTAACAAATATAAGACAACTCCTGACGAATATGCTAAAGAAGTTGAAAATGACGACTAAGCATTTCTATACCATGCGTAAACTGTCATGTAAGGTGGCATGTAGTCTTTACTTTGTCCCGTTGTTTGCGTATACCCTGAAACGCGATGTGTATGGCTTCCTCCTACCTCAGTGTTACTCCAGTAACAATTTATAGCAAACTTAACGTCCTCTTTAACATCATATCCTTTACCTTTTGTCATTCCTGACCAATCCCAAAATCTATGACTATGCAAACCTGCTTCAGATGTACTTAAATTTATGTAGTGACTGTGCGCAGGTAAATTTGCACCTGAAATCGTTTTACTTCCACCTGTTTCCTTTGAAGAGTTTGCACAATACAAAAACCTGTCGACTATTTGAGTCCAAGTTCCGAGACCAAGTACTACTTCTGGTTTGGTAGAGTTCATTGACGTGTAAATAGAACCTATAGGATATAGTGTTTGAAGTATTTCTGTCTTTAACGTTTGAAGCTCTGTTTTGTCAGCTTTTTTATCTAACTCATCGTTAACATATGTTTTGTCAGCTTTGTTGTCATATAAATCTTGAGCAGTGAATTTAACTTTGTTTTCATCCTCCATGACAAAAACATTTCTACATCTAGTGTATTTCATCGTTGTTATGTCTTCATCCGATGTTAAACCTTGTGGAAAGTTAGGAGGTTTCCAATTTAATACATCCCCACCAGTTCCATCAGGTTCTTCAACCGTTCCTGCAATATTTTCTATACCAACAGTTGCGAAGAAATCGTGTGTATGTCCAACGTCACTTTTCCTGTTTAAGGTTTCTTGTAAGTTTGTAATATTTGCAATGGTATGTGTATGAGTCTTTTTAGAATATTCGTTTTCAGCTCTTGTCACTTCACTTGACATTTTATTGTCAACATATGTTTTGTCTGCTAGTTCAGGATGAGTATGTTCTTTCGTTGCATATGTTGCATCTGCTCTGTCATGTTCTTCTTGAACTTTTTCAATGACATACTCTTTGTCAGCTTTGTTGTTAACATCTGCTTTTGTTGCATATGTTGCATCTGCTCTGTCATGTTCTTCTTGAACTTTTTCAATGACATACTCTTTGTCAGCTTTGTTGTCAACATCTGCTTTCAAAAGAAGTTCATCTATAGGTTTCTCGTTTAAAGTTCTTTTTGTTGGATTTATACAAACAGTATGGTTCTTACTGTCTTGAAACAGAAACTCGTCTGTCATTGGGTTTATCGTCAGTTTTAAGTTTCCTTCTTTCAATGACTCAGATATCTTAGAATAGTTTGAAAAGTTTGTTGTGTTCTTATTTAGAGCTTGCAAAATGAGTTGTCGGTTGTGTTGTATTTCTCTCATAGACGCTGTTTCTTTCGACATTTTTATTCTAGATAAAATATGCTTTCAATAGAAAAAGAAAATTCAAGAGTTGCTACAACTAAACCATTAGATGAACTTTTTACTAACGTAGGTCAAAAGTTTGAGACAGAGACCGTAAAGCATGAAGGCTATCGTTTTGACTACCCACTTAGATGGTTAAGAGACCCATCCGTCACAAAAGCTATTGGCTTTCGTAGAATGAAGTTCATTTCAGAAGCCATACATGGTTTCCCATTTACGGTCGCTTTTGAAGTTCGATACTATAAACAAAGAAAAACATACGTATGAGAAATTTGAACAGGGAAAACTTTTACAAGTGAATTTGCTTGTAAATTTAGAAACAACTCTTCAAGCTTTTCAAGAAAAAATAAACGATATCTATCTCGAATATGCAAAACAGTACAACATTGACGAAGGAGAGTACCATCTCGATATTATATATGACAGGAAAAATGCAACTGTTAAAATCAATAGAATAGAAGACCTTGGAGAAGACGTTTATATTTCTACAAAATATAACAACTTGGCATGGTATAGATTTTTGAGGATGTTAAATCAGCCTGCAGAATATCCAGTACACCCGAACTTTTATGAAGTCGAAAACCCTAATGAACATATGAAATGTTTTCGACCAAGATGCTATTATAGTTCATGCTTCATTTTCTGGCGCACAAAACTCTTTTTTATGCTTGGCAAATGACTTTTACGAAAAACCTACAAAGCTATATGAACCACCAAGTGGAAGTATTTCAGACTTTCAAGTATGGTTTACTACAGATGGAAGAAAGAGAATAATTCCATTATACCACGCGTTTTACTTAGAACTTAGTTTCATATACAACTACTATCGAACGGTAAAAATATAATTTTAATACGGTTGAGGTGTTGGATTTGGTTGCCAACTTGACTGTGGTGCAGGTTCAGGCTGTTGTATAACAGGAGCTTGTTCTTCTGGTTCAGGGTCTTTAGGTATAATACCAACGAACTGACCTACTCTTTTACCAATATTTTTGACTCCGTTCCAAATTCCTCTTCCTACGGTTTTTATTCCATTCCATATACCTCTTCCAACATTTCGAAAGAAGTTTCCTATTCTTCCAAAGAAACCCATTTTACTATATGTAAAAATCTAATGTCCGCCTAGTCTCTTACGTTTCCTGTTGAGTTCCATAGCATTCTTTAACTGGAGCTCATACATTCTGTTTCTCCTCTGGTAGAAAACATATTCTGGGTCAACTCCTGTGTTCGCGTCATCTGCATAAAGTTGTTTATATCCCACTTCAGGGTTTGTATAAAACTCTTTCCATCTCATATTTGCATACCATGGTGGTAAGCCTAACGCAGCGTCATTTGACATGGCAGTTTGCATTTGTACATCTGTTGGCACTTGACCATAGTTTGCCATTGCAGTTTGTATTCTAACTTCATTTGGAATATTCTCTGGGTTTGGTTGTCCAGGTTGCTGTGCATTCGCTAAGTTCTGTGCGTCCATTTAATATTAGATAAAAATATCTCTTACGAGTACATATACTGAACATTTGCAGGCATTGGTTCATCTTCATATTCTCTATATCTTTCTGCCACGTCAAATAAGTAAATGACACAATGGAAAAAACCTAAAACAAGTAGTCCTATTTCAAACCACATTTACTTACCAATAAAATTTCTTTGTTGTGACACTTTCTCCGGTTTATAGGACCTCTCTCATATTCTATCTTATCGTATCTAAAATCATAGTCATGTATATCCTCTAACCATCTCATAACACTTTCCAAACCACTTTTATCGGATGTAAAGTAAAAGCATGGATGGTTATGTAAAACGTCTAAAGTTTCTAAAGAGTCTCTCAAAGTCCAGTCTACTTGGTATTGAAAATCGTATGTGTTATAGAACGGCGGGTCTACTATAAAGAAAACATTTTCCTTGTCTTTGTATTTTTCATACAACTCTGTCCAATGACATCTCACAAACTCTATACCCTCAGTATATTTTTCTATGTTCTCTTTGAAAACCTTTGTATAGTTAAGATATAAAACGTTTGACATAAGTGTTTCAATGTCATGAACTCTTATAGAACCACTATATAATAGTCTAGAAGATATACTATCCCAGTCAATATACTCTGCCTTTTTCAAAACCTCTCTGACAGTATTTTTCTTATCTAATGGTATACGTTCCATCTTACCTATAGGTATCTTTTCTTTTAACTCTTTCAATATTTTGTTTGTGTCTGGTATATGTTTGAGACGGTTCATATAGTTGTCGAAGTCATTGCATATAATCTTTGAGTCAGGAAATATTGTATGGCACAAATGAGATATATAGAAACTTCCACCGAACAAGTCTACAAATGTTAGACCATTCGGTAGTTTCTTAAGTTCTCTCAATAGAATATCTTTACATCTACTCTTATTTCCAAAGAAGGGTAACGGTGGTTTTGTAAAATTCATTTTATATATATAATAAAAATGTTTTTACCTGAAAAGTGACAGAAAAGCGGCTTTTGACAGACGTTTTATTGTGACTTCTTCGTAAAGACTTTGTTGAGATTTCTTCGTAAATGAGTGTAAATGACCCAAAAATATATTTTAGGGTAGAAGGGTATATCTAACCTCTTTTCTAACCTCTTTTCTACCCTCTTGAATTTTCATGAATTTCTTCGTAAAGACTTTGTTAAGACTTCTTCGTAAAGACTTTGTTAAGACTTCTTCGTAAAGACTTTGTCAAGACTTCATCGTAAAGACTTTGTTGAGATTTCTTCGTAAATGACCCTAGTAGTATATTTTTGGTGTAAATTTCATGAAAATTCAAGAGGGTAGAAAAGAGGTTAGAAAAGAGGTTAGATATACCCTTCTACCCTAAAATATATTTTTGGTGTAAATTTCATGAAAATTCAAGAGGGTAGAAAAGAGGTTAGAAAAGAGGTTAGATATACCCTTCTACCCTAAAATATATTTTTGGTGTAAATTTCATGAAAATTCAAGAGGGTAGAAAAGAGGTTAGAAAAGAGGTTAGATATACCCTTCTACCCTAAAATATATTTTTGGTGTAAATTTCATGAAAATTCAAGAGGGTAGAAAAGAGGTTAGAAAAGAGGTTAGATATACCCTTCTACCCTAAAATATATTTTTGGTGTAAATTTCATGAAAATTCAAGAGGGTAGAAAAGAGGTTAGAAAAGAGGTTAGATATACCCTTCTACCCTAAAATATATTTTTGGTGTAAATTTCATGAAAATTCTGAGTAAAATGACAGATGTTTATATGACACTTTCTCCGGTTTATAGGACCTCTCTCATATTCTAAACATCTTCGGGGCTAGAGGGCACGAAGTGCCTGGAAGCCCCACTCCCTTTTTTTTTTTTTTTTTTTTTTTTTTTTTTTTTTTTTTTTTTTTTTTTTTCGGTAGTGTTTACTAATAGATGAATAGTATATAAATTCTATTAAAATGGATTTGATCCAAAAAAATATATAAAATTTCATCATAAATAAAATCGTTTTAAATTACTTCTTCATTTAAATTATAACAATTATTTTTGGTTTTATATTTTTTTGGATCAAATCCATTTTAATAGAATTTATATACTATTCATCTATTAGTAAACACTACCGTATATTATTTTTTAAGCTATCTTATTTTTTGAAATTTTATTCAAATCTTTGGTCGCAAGAAGAATTGCATGATAAATAAAAACATTTAATCAAAGTCAATTTTATTTTTCATATTCAAATGGACTGAGTGTTAACATTTAACATTTTTTTGCTAATTGTCGTCAAAAATTAGGCGTAAAGCAAAAATTGATATTTCATATGGTTTTATGATAGATAAGCATTATATTCCCACTCATTATATTCGTAAATTTTGAGGTTTATCCTTCGCTTTTAAGATCATTGAATTTGATTTTTATATAAAATAGTTATATATTAGAAAATAATATGAGTTTATGTGATATTATTTTTCAGAAGATTTTGTGTTCTTCTTCAAAATTTTATTTTTTTTTTTATTAAAAAGAATCTTTACAAAATATACATTTACTTTAATTAATATTTAAAAACGTGCTCTATCAAAAGTTCCAAAAATTCAATATTTTAGCTTTTCTGAGGTGTCACTTTTGATGAATTTCTGTTTACAACAACCCTAACAATATTTTTTCTTAAAACAAAAATATAAAAATATAAATAAAATTAATCGTTAAATAAAAATATTTGATATTAGAATTTTATTGGAAAAATAAAAAACTTAATATTTTAAAGAAATACTTAAATACTTGAATGTTTTAACTTTTACATTATCATATAGACTCTCAAATTATTAGCCATTTTGGCTGAGAACTATGGTCTGCGAGGTACATAGATAGAATCAGTACCTCGCAGACTATAGTTCTCTATATGGCGCCGAAAATTTTTGGTGAAATGTCGTCGCATTTCACCAAAAATTTTTCGGCGCCATAGGAAGAATTGGGGGTGTGAGATACTATTACATGCTATAGTACTCACACCCTCCAACTCCCAATCAAAATCGCATAAAATTTGCTACTTATCTTCAGATTACCTCCCATTATAAAATATATCATTGCTATCTCATTGTACTATATTTCCACCCTATTGTATTTAAAAATATAAAATTTTTTGATAATATATTTTTATATCTTGAATTTTCAAACAATATATTCACAGATAATATAATGGGAAATCTATCTCAACCTAGCCTTAAAGTACCAAACTCCTGCTTGCATTCTCACTCACAAATATTAAACATCCATCTCCAAAAAACTAAATTCTTCACAATTTTTTAAAATTGAGAACATAAAAAACGTATGCATTCAATAATTTAAGATACTAACAAATATTAAAAACTTCAAAATATCAGATATTAACGTTTTTCAATTAAAAAAAATATCATTTTGCTTTTCAATTCGAACATAAATCTTAAATATTTTTAATTAATATCTGATTTACAGCATTATTATCCATTTATAAATCTGACAAATAAATGACAAAACCATCAGAAATAGTGTCACTTTTTGTCAAAAGTGAAGTCACGCTATTTTTCATGCACAACACTCTGCTTCAAGTTGTAGCATCTTTGCCTCATGTTCACCTAGTATGTTGTAAATTTCCCATGTCCTTTTTGCCTTTGGGCTCTGGTCGCCCATCTCAGGTAACCTATATCCTAGAAAGATTTTGTCATAGTTTGTATTTGAGTCTTCGATTATTGTTTGCATGACTCTTTCCTGAGTTTCCGTTCAAGCTCTTCAAATATAGCTTGTCCATATGGAATAAGCTCGTTTCCAAATATATGTTTTTGTAGCCATTCTGGTTTTCTTTCCATGTAACCAATAATATCTTTTGTGAATGGGAAAGCTTTTACCCAACGTTTCAGTCTTGCGTCATTTATTTCTGTAGTTGGTTTTATTTTGTCATGGAACATGTTTTTCAATACTAACATTTCATTTGGTACTGTCCATTTGAGTTTTCTTAAATATTCATCCTTCTCAGTTCATTGCTGTAAGTTTTATGACATTTTGCAAACTTTCGTTTGCAAGGTCATGTACAATAGGTTCTCTTCCTTCTCTCTCCCTAACTTTCTTTCTAAACTCTTCACCAAATATACCATCTCTATGGTTCTGTGTAGTTCTTTGAGATAAATGTTCTAGAACATCAGGTGTTATATTTCCCTCAGCCATGTTCATTTCATACCGGTCCAAAATATCTGCATCTTTCATATCTTTCAATGGCATTAAAGCCGCGCTGAAAATACCAGTTATATCTGGTTCACCATTCACTTCCATTGCGTCTACAACTTCTTGGAATTGAGGTTGTAAGTTTATGAACCACCTATCCGGATTAGCTTTATGACCCCATCTCATTGTAGTTCCATAGTCTGCAGAAACAAAAGTAGGTTTGTTTCCATATTGGTTAGGTTCTGAATGAACTTTAAACAATGTTTCATTTCTATATGTTTTGTTGAAATTTAACCTTTTATTTTCACCGAGTTCAGCCAAAGATTGAACGTTATATGGTCGTAAGTAAAAAGGATTATTGTATTTGCGTACATTTTTTTCAGTACTTCCATTCTATGCTGAATATTTTCATCTGATGTTGGAGTCTTTTGTATGTCGGTGAACATTTTCGATATTCTTCTACTATGTCAGCCGAATTTTTCTTAGACTCTTGGAAAGATTCCATATTCACCTCATACTCTTGTTGAGGGTCAAGATTTTTCGGCTGTTCCAAATCTTCATCTAGTTCTGTGAAGTTAGTTTCCAAAGGAGAACTTGTTCGTTTCCTTCAGGCTCTTCTAGCTGTTGTTGCTGAACTATTTCTTCCATGTCTGGTTGTATCTGAACTTCTTCCTGTTGAGTTTCTTGTACCTCATCTGCTGGCATTTCATATATTCCGAGACCGTTTTTAACAAGTTCCCTATCTAAGTCATCCGGACTCATAAACCTTTCTTCTTTCGTTCCGTCTCTATTTTTTACGCGTTTCATGAAGAGAGTTGAATTATCATTTAGCTCTGACATCAAATATCTCGGAGTAAATTCATCCATGTCATTTGGATGATATGCTATTAAATCATATCCCTTTGCGAGCTTGTATTTTCCAGGTTTGAGATTATATCCGATTTTATGCTGAACCATAAAGCTAAATAGGTTCGGGTCAGTATTTCCTTCCTTGAACTTTCTAATAGCTTCTTTATATCTGTCACTAAAGTCAAGAGTATCTGGGTAACCATAATCTTCCTTAAGCATTTTTAAGAATTCTTGGTTTCCTTTTTCTCTACTTCTTTTATGTCTTTGCTCTGTTTGTGGTTGTTGTGCTGGATTTTGAACTGTTGGTTGTTGTGCTGGATTTTGAACTGTTGGTTGTTATGCTGGATTTTGAACTGTTTGTTTTGGTTGTTGTTGTTGTGCTGGATTTTGAACTGTTGGTTGTTGTGTTGGTTTTGGTGCATGTCTGTGTCTGTGTCCATGTGACGATGTAAATGTTTTAGGTAGTCCTGGTGCAGGTGCTTCTCTTGGAGTGTTTGGTGGTATATAAGTTCCACCAGCTGGCACATATGTTCCATCTGCAGCATAATGTCCTACCTGACTTTTCATTCTTAAGAAAGCATTTACTAGGTCTGTTTTGGTCTGTTGTAACTCTTTTTCTTGACTTTCCACGACAGCTGCTCTAACGGCATCATAGGCACTTTGAACTGCCTGTCTCGTTGCTGCATCTGTTATTTTCGTCATATTTTGTGCTACTTCTCTTAACTCTTTGTCGAAACCTTCAGACTTCAGTTTCTTTCCAGATGAGAAGTCGTTCACTAGTTTCACCTTACTATGAAGAGCTTCGAAGGCATTCTTAAAGTCAGCATTCATTAAAGCTTCATTTGAACTGTCTTCATCCGCTTGTATTTTTGTCCTTATTGACCCTATAAGTTGGGCTGCTTTAGCGCTGGCTTGGGCATCTAACCAGTCATTATTAGCTTTTATAATATCTGCGCTTTTCATTGCCTTTTGCATGGCTGCGTCGTTATTTTTACTTTCTTGTGCTAAGTTTTCATACTGTACGGTTTGGTTTTGCAACTGTAAAAGTTTTTCTGCCTTTACATTTGCTTCAACTTCTTTTTTATCTCATCGCTATCCATATATGTCTTCATGGCTTTTTGTTTTATCTCTTCATCTTTCAGTACTTTATATTGAGTAGTATGGTTTTTCAAATTTATAACATCTTGTTCCATTTTTGCTACTTCTGCTGCTTTTTCTGACACTTTTTTCGCATATTCCTCTGTACTTAGTTCTTTCAGTTGTTCTTCTTTCTTCTTTTTCTCTACGTTTAACTCATTGAGTTTCTTTGTCTGTCTGTCATATTCTAGTTTCTTTTCGTTTTCACTTATTTGTTTCTGTATGTCTATGTTTGACTTTTTGACATCTGTTATTTAATTTTTGAGTGAACTCAAATTCATTTGACTTTGAGGGTTATAAGCTGTTCTGTCTGCAGATCCACCATAGCCTGCCATTTTCGCTAAAAGTGCCGCTCTTAAACCTCCACTCTGTGCACCAATAACTCGGTTTAAAAGCATAGGGTTGCTTGACATTTGTTGCAACATAGTGGGGTCATTCATAATTTGTTGTTGCAACTGTTGTTGTGGTGTCAGTTTTACTATTGGATGTTTCAATGCTCCCTTCCTCTTACGTATATTCTTACGTAGCTTACGTGGCATTTTAAGTGAAGTTAAAAAGCGGTTTTTGACAGATGTTTATATGACACTATTTGTTCAGCACAAAAAACTACTCGGTCAAAGTGTTGTCGGTTTTGTAAAATAACCGTCCTATCTCATTCTATAAGGGGAAAAAGGCTTCTCAAGTATACTTCCTTGGAACGCCTGTAACTTTTCCTGTAGCGATGATAGACCCTTACTTGTCCGGACAAAGTTATACTATTTTGAGTGCTCTACAAAAAAGTCAACGGCGACGACTCTCAAAAACAGTTGTGTAAAAAGTTTTACCGTTGGACAAAAAAGTATATATAGAAAACAAAAAACGTTTATAGTTCATTCAATATTTGAGATAAACCATTTTTCCAACGGTAACCCCTCTATTTTTTTATTTTATTTAATAGTTACCGTTGACAAAAACGGTTTATCTCAAATATTTAAATATCTGTCTTTTTTGGTCAGTTCATTTTTATCTAATGGAAGCCCCACTCGCCACATCCTTTATAATGTTGAGAACTTTATACCAAGTTCGTCAAAATCTTCCTCGTTACATCCAACGGTCATTCGACACGAGAATTGCCGAATTCACACCAGAAGACTAACAATTTTCCGAATAAAAACTTCATTTATACTAAACATCTTCGGGGCTAGAGGGCGCAACGCGCCTGGAAGCCCCACTACCTTTTTTTTCATGTCAGATTATTTTATAGTTTAGAGCAGAATAATTTTATATTTAATAACTAGAAAAGAATAATACTGATGTATTTGAGCATGATCAAATTGAATCATTATTTTGTGTGAAGTGATCATAAAATTTTACTATGGCTTGTGTTTGTGATTTGACAGTCATTGCTCAGATCATCGCTATAGTTGGTGGTATATTTGCCATCATTGTAGGATGCTTCTGGTTTAAGGATGCTCACGGTAACTTTTTCATGGGTGTCAATGGCTTTTTCGATATTGTTTTTGGAATTCTTGTTATTCTTACAGAAGTTTTCCGTCCAGCTTTCTTCAAGTATTTCGGTTTTATGGTTTTATTCTGGGGCAAAATCATCATGTTCTTCATATTATTCCTTAGATGCTTCACAACAGATTTCAAGCAATATACAATCCAAGGCATTGGCTGGATTATCGATGTTATCTGCATGATTATCTTCGCAGTCTTCGCCGTTTGGTTAGGCGGTGGCACAAAATCATTGTTACAGAAGGATGGTGTTGAAATGGGCACTTCATCCAGCGACCTCTTTAAGTCTACTACTGATTAAATACTCTTCTTTAAAAAAGATTTATACTTTTTATCCGTCATTTGAAATATTATTTTTTAGAACAATCTGGCATTATTAAATATTTGAATACGTTTGGCATTACCAAATTTAAAACTTGTTGTTTGAAGTCTCTCACTTATAGAAAATGAACTCACTTCATTGAATTATTTTTTCATTGATAGTTTTGATATACAATCGCATTGAATACTAAACACTAAATATCTCATTCTTTATGAATTGCTATCGGAGCCAAGTTTAATTATTTAAAAAGTTATTTACATATGAGAGTGATTAAATATTGATGCTCATTTCAATTTTGAAAGTATTTTTAGCTCTAATGAAGATCTAGCAGCTTGCAAAGCAATAACTAATGGAAATCCATTCAATATATGCATTTATAAGCAAAATTAAGCATCAAATGAGATTATTGTATCTAATAATATGATTTTTACCTTGAGATGGCAAGTTATTAGCATGATAAATAAAATTTGATAATTTTTCCAACGCAAAGAACATGCCTTGATTCGATAATTCAGGTGCAAATATTTTCATGAGTTGATTTTCAATATTATCAAAGGAGGATAGAATATAATGTCGATGGAATCAACAAAGAATTGAAAGTGAAAAAAAAATTTTTTGAATGATGAGAAAGAGTTCCGCTGTTAATTTCGTTAGCTTAGGGAAGAAAGTTAATGAATACAACTCCGGAAGTTCCGATGGTGAAGGCCCAGACGATATCCCTCGAAACCTAATGAATCCGATGAGAACTCAATCTCAAGAATTTACAGCCGAAGTTTCAAGTATGCTTAATGAGCACAAAATCCTGTTAAACCCTCCAGACACTCCAATGCACTGTATTAGAGTATCAGATAAGGAATATTCATTGGAAAATTTCAGTTGCCCAACTACACCAATTAATTCTATTCGAATTGAGCCAATCGAGTGTGTTGTTGTCAATGTTGCACATCTTGAACAGTTTCCAAAACCTAGTTCTGATTTTGCAAAACAAATTCCTTCAATTTTCGCTTGGCAAAATACAAACAATTCTTTCTCTTCCGAATATCCTACAACTATACAAACATATTTTAAGAACACTTATCATCAAATTCGACAGAAAATCAGATTTTTCTTTTCAATTGCTCCAAATGCAGACAGATTAAACAATTTATCGTCCATCAGATCAGAAGTTGTTAGCGGAAGAGTTTTATTCCACTACATTGGCTATGGATTTCCTGTAATTAAAAAGAATACAATTTGGTGCTCTGATAGACGTTCTACAGAGTTCAAACCTTACAATATATCTGATTTATTCCGTAATCTCATGCCTCCTACCTGGTTTATCTTCGATTGTTCCAATGCCGCCGTTGTTATTCCTCAATTTAAAGAAACATCCGCAGAATTGGCCGCTCGCGATAACAACAAGATCTGGGAGAACTGGGTTTGCATCTGCGCAACCGATGTAAACGAGCAGCTGCCAGACGATCCAAGATTACCAAAAGATTTCCTTTCTTCCTGCATTTTATCACCTCTTAAGATGGGCATTGTCTGTCATTTATTACAGCACTACAGGACAAACCTTGTAGGAAACAATTTCCCCACAGAAATTCCCTGTGATCATTTAATCCAAGAAAAACCAAAGGAACCCAACCAGTTGATGCAAGCTCTTACCGCTATTGCAGATGCCATCGCTTCCGATGGTCTTCCTAAAGATCTTTACCATAGAATTTTCAGATGTGACAGATCTTCAGCTGTTATCTTCAGATACGTTCTCTTTGCGCAGTATCTTCTTCGTCCATACCGTATCCACCCCGTAACCCATCCAGCTCTTCCAGATCTTTCGATGCATCCTCTCTGGAAGCAATGGAGCGTTCTTTTGGACAACGCGATCTGTTCTGTATCCATCCAACGCATAAACTTTACTTCGGACTTGTTTAATTCCGTTGCCCAAAGTTTCGCGATGATTTTGAAGAACAAACAATACAATTTGATCAGATCCTACCACTTAACATTGTTATTCCACATGTTCTATGCTGACGAAGCTAATTGCCAGAAGCCACTTCTTCTTTTCGCACAATACGCAGCTTCTCCTGAGATGAATCCTGAAAGATTTTGCAGCGCCATTGTTTTTCACGCTTTGTTCGTGAAGATGATCGAATGGAATACTTCTGATCCTGCATTCCATTCGATCTGCTTCTTAGTTCTCACGCTGCTTTACCACAAACCGGATTTCGCAACCGAAATCAGGAAAGACAAAGATCCTTCTCAATTTCCGAACATCATTTTTGACACTTCATTGAATGAGTCGACCAGAACCATTGTAGCGGCCATTGTCGCGACATTGGCTATCTGCAACGAAGCTCTTCAACAAGTGTGCACATCCCTCGAGTTCCTTTCCAAAGTTCGTGTAGAACTCGGCCGTGCTTCTCCATTATTAGCAACATGGTTACTTTTAATTGTCAGGAGAGCTTTTCACTTGTATTCTCCTGATCCAACTGTTTACGTGTCAAATGGTTTACACGTACAATGTTCCATTCATTTGTTCTCTCCTTCTCCTGCAGTGAGAGTTGCTGCTCTTTCTGCTTTGGCCTGTTTCTTGAGACCATTTGAATGCAATGTCAATGGACAATTGTTGTTTTTGGCATTGCCTGTTATAGCTGATGCTTCTTATTTAGTTAGATTCCATTTCGTTCTTCTCTTGAAGAAGTTCGTCACTTCGTTTGAGAACTACTCAGAAAGTGTGATTGTTAACTCAAATTTCGTTTTCCAGGCAAATTCTTTCGACCAAACTGTGAAGAGTTGTTTTGGCCAGAAATACAATTTGAGTTTATTCGACAAACCTAATGGGTTGTTCTTCCAAGCTGTTGACGACAATGTCCACATGAAACAGTTCATCAACCGCGCATACGCAATTGCAATGTCTTTGTTGAACCAATACGCGGAAGATCCTCATCCAAGTGTTTCTAGTTTGGCAACAAGAGTTTTGAAGTATATTTTGCGTTCAAGAAAAGAATACAATGATGCAAACAAGAACGAGGATTTCAGTTCAGGGCCATCTTCATTCAAAGGCGAACATTTCATTGGCGGAGTGATGAGTTATGGTGGCGAAGATGCTGAAGAATTCGAAGAAGAACATTTTTCATTCGCAAATATCGATCAGAACGAATCTCTCCATGAAATTTGTTTGCACGATTTAGTTGACAGAAGAGAATGGCAAGCGCCAACACAACCTGCTAAGCCTGCTCCTTCCAACCAGAAGAAATCATTACCACCTGCTTCGATGGAGACAATCACGAGGTCAATGACATTCACGCAAACAACGGAAGTCAAGTTATGTGATGAAGAAATCACGAAAATTTGTTTCGACAAGGACAGTTTAGGTGTTTCTTGTTCAACGAAGAAACAAGTTTTCTTCATCCACGATCAAAAGAAATCATCAATCACAGTGAATCGTGGATATATCACAGACTTACATGTTGTTGAATGGCGTGGATATCCAGAGATTCTCTTCGCAACATCAGACAGATGCATTCATCTTTGGACACCTCCTAATGAAACATTGAGTTGCACTTTCTGTTGCCAGCCACGTCTCGCGAAGAAGATTGATGAAAACAGTGAAGAAGAATCATCAGATGATGAAGATTCCTTCAATGAAAATGTCTTGATCGCTGTTGCAAATGAACCATTCGTTGTTTACACGACATGTAATTCTGTTGTTCACAAATGGGACATGAAATCATTGAAGATCAGCTCAGTTGTTGACACAGGAGCACAGACATGCACAACATCAATTAACTGCCATCCACACAAATCAAATCATTTCGTCAGTGGCTGCGAAAATGGTGTTGTCAGAGAAATTGAAGCAACGAAAGATGGATCGAATTTCGACTTAGTTTTGGCACCACATCCGAAATTGCCAGTTTTGGGAGTCCAATATTGGAATGACATGATCACTAAAAATACAAAATTCTTCGTTGCTTCTGCAGGAGGATTCGTTGACATGTGGGATGATTCTGTACAAGAGAAGTTGATTAATCCTGTCTGGAAGAAGGATGAAAAACTGTTTTCTTTCGCAGCGCATCCTTTGTATCCTTTGTTGATCATGAGTCCGGAAGATAAGTCTCCTTTCATTATTGACCACTCTGGAAACGTTTTGGCTAATTTCACAAAGGTTACTGGAAAGACTGTTTGCGCTTTCCATCTTTTGTTGCCTCTTTTCGGATTGGGAACACAAAATGGAACTATCTATGTTTACCAAATGTCTCCATAACTTTTTACTCATATATATATTTTTTATTTTTATTATTTGTAAATTTTCATTTATTTGATTTATATCTCTTACTCTCTTCGCTCCGGTGTATAATGTTTCTGAGAAACTGCACATTCTATTTGAAATTGTAGCCGTATTTTTTTTTAGAGCCAAAAAAATAAAAACGCACTCGAATTTATCTTCCTAAACTCGAATTATCGTCCAAATTTGCATCCCTAAAATATGAAAACAAATATAATTCGCTCGAAAATTTTTCCTAAATGTTAGTCACTGTTACGGTTTTTTCTTTGGGGGCGAGCTTGCGAGCCCCCAAAAAAAGAAAAAATCGTAACGGTGAGCTCACATTTCGGCATAGTTTAAGTCTAGGTTTTGCATTTTAAAATGTTTGTTACCTTATCTTCTTTCAAAAAGTGGCAAAAATTTGTTTGAAATTTGAAAAAGATATTTTTATTTGCATAAATGACATTCAACTAAGCTGTAGCATGATTCTTTTGCATGCTCTAGTTTTTTTCTCAGTTCAATCTCCTTCCATACTCTTGCTTGTACCAGTAAGATCGCACCAAAATTCTCAAAAATTAAGATCTCCAAATTTTATGTTCAACTCCAATTATCAAACGCCCTCATTAACGCCACTCATAGCCATCTTTCATGCATGAGAAATCGTTATTAGAAGATTTTTTACGGCTAATTATCTGATTCAATTCAGATCAATACTCAAAGCCCCATTATTTATTTATAAATCCTTGTTTGTCGCCTATGCGAATAAAAATTCTTTTTATATTTTAAACATTTTTTTTTCACTTTGGAAGGAGAAAGGTGACTAACATTTTAAAAATGCAAAAACCGACTAAACTATTTCGAAATTTCAAGATTCCTCGTTTTAAGGGTTGTTCAAATTTGGATCTACAACCACACAATCACAAAATTATCGTTCTAGACCGCCCTAAAAAATGTCTGATTTTTTGATTTTTTCGTCAGAACCATCCAATGAGCCTATTAAAGCACGAATGAACTTATCATTGTTTCTAAATACATTGATTGAATACGGTAAAAAATGTCACATTTGAGAATTTTTTCAGTATGTTCTTCGCTTCAGAATAATATTGATTCTTCCATCCGAATATCTACACAATAATTATTAAATACAATCTAAAAAAGGTAGTGGGGCTTCCAGGCGCGTTGCGCCCTCTAGCCCCGAAGATGTTTAGTATAAATGAAGTTTTTATTCGGAGGGCTTCCAGGCGCGTTGCGCCCTCTAGCCCCGAAGATGTTTAGTATAAATGAAGTTTTTATTCGGAAAATTGTTAGTCTTCTGGTGTGAATTCGGAGGACTCTTCTTGGATAGAGTCTTGTATTTCCTCCTCCTCTTCTTCCTCCTCCATTGCTTCTGGGAAGAAGCCTTCTTCTGGGTCGAAAACATTATATAATATGTCACTTTTCACAAATTATATATGTTTTCATGTTTTGTCACTTTTCTGTCACTTTTCGGGTAAAAACATTTTTATTATTATATATAAATGAATTTTACAAAACCGCCGTTACCGTTCTTTGGAAATAAGAGTAGATGTAAAGATATTATATTGAGGTGAGTGGGGCTTTGGCTTTGGTTAGCGGTTGAGAATTGTTAATGTTTGAATTGTGGTTAACAGCGTTGGCTTCCATTAGATAAAAATGAACTGACCAAAAAAGGCAGATATTTAAATATTTGAGATGAACCGTTTTCGTCAACGGTAACTCCCTCTATTTTTTATTTTATTTAATAGTTACCGTTGGAAAAACGGTTTATCTCAAATATTGAATGAACTATAAACGTTTTTTGTTTTCTATATATACTTTTTTGTCCAACGGTAAAACTTTTTACACAACTGTTTTTGAGAGTCGTCGCCGTTGACTTTTTTGTAGAGCACTCAAAATAGTATAACTTTGTCCGGACAAGCAAGGGTCTATCATCGCTACAGGAAAAGTTACAGGCGTTCCAAGGAAGTATACTTTGAGAAGCCTTTCCCCCTTATAGAATGAGATAGGACGGTTATTTTACAAAACTGACAACACTTTGACCGAGTAGTTTTTTGTGCTGAACAAAAAGTGTCATATAAACATCTGTCAAAAACCGCCTTTTAACTTCACTTAAAATGCCACGTAAGCTACGTAAGAATATACGTAAGAGGAAGGGAGCATTGAAACATCCAATAGTAAAACTGACACCACAACAACAGTTGCAACAACAAATGATGAATGACCCCACTATGTTGCAACAAATGTCAAGCAACCCTATGCTTTTAAACCGAGTTATTGGTGCACAGAGTGGAGGTTTAAGAGCGGCACTTTTAGCGAAAATGGCAGGCTATGGTGGAGCTGCAGACGGAACAGCTTATAACCCTCAAAGTCAAATGAATTTGAGTTCACTCAAAAATCAAATAACAGATGTCAAAAAGTCAAACATAGACATACAGAAACAAATAAGTGAAAACGAAAAGAAACTAGAATATGACAGACAGACAAAGAAACTCAATGAGTTAAACGTAGAGAAAAAGAAGAAAGAAGAACAACTGAAAGAACTAAGTACAGAGGAATATGCGAAAAAGTGTCAGAAAAAGCAGCAGAAGTAGCAAAAATGGAACAAGATGTTATAAATTTGAAAAACCATACTACTCAATATAAAGTACTGAAAGATGAAGAGATAAAACAAAAAGCCATGAAGACATATATGGATAGCGATGAGTATAAAAAAGAAGTTGAAGCAAATGTAAAGGCAGAAAAACTTTTACAGTTGCAAAACCAAACCGTACAGTATGAAAACTTAGCACAAGAAAGTAAAAATAACGACGCAGCCATGCAAAAGGCAATGAAAAGCGCAGATATTATAAAAGCTAATAATGACTGGTTAGATGCCCAAGCCAACGCTAAAGCAGCCCAACTTATAGGGTCAATAAGGACAAAAATACAAGCGGATGAAGACAGTTCAAATGAAGCTTTAATGAATGCTGACTTTAAGAATGCCTTCGAAGCTCTTCATAGTAAGGTGAAACTAGTGAACGACTTCTCATCTGGAAAGAAACTGAAGTCTGAAGGTTTCGACAAAGAGTTAAGAGAAGTAGCACAAAATATGACGAAAATAACAGATGCAGCAACGAGACAGGCAGTTCAAAGTGCCTATGATGCCGTTAGAGCAGCTGTCGTGGAAAGTCAAGAAAAAGAGTTACAACAGACCAAAACAGACCTAGTAAATGCTTTCTTAAGAATGAAAAGTCAGGTAGGACATTATGCTGCAGATGGAACATATGTGCCAGCTGGTGGAACTTATATACCACCAAACACTCCAAGAGAAGCACCTGCACCAGGACTACCTAAAACATTTACATCGTCACATGGACACAGACACAGGCATGCACCAAAACCAACACAACAACCAACAGTTCAAAATCCAGCACAACAACAACAACCAAAACCAACAGTTCAAAATCCAGCACCTGCACCACAACCAAAACCAGCACAACAACCACCTCCACAACCAGCACAGCAACCAACAGTTCAAAACCCTGCACAACAACAACCACAAACAGAGCAAAGACATAAAAGAAGTAGAGAAAAAGGAAACCAAGAATTCTTAAAAATGCTTAAGGAAGATTATGGTTACCCAGATACTCTTGACTTTAGTGACAGATATAAAGAAGCTATTAGAAAGTTCAAGGAAGGAAATACTGACCCGAACCTATTTAGCTTTATGGTTCAGCATAAAATCGGATATAATCTCAAACCTGGAAAATACAAGCTCGCAAAGGGATATGATTTAATAGCATATCATCCAAATGACATGGATGAATTTACTCCGAGATATTTGATGTCAGAGCTAAATGATAATTCAACTCTCTTCATGAAACGCGTAAAAAATAGAGACGGAACGAAAGAAGAAAGGTTTATGAGTCCGGATGACTTAGATAGGGAACTTGTTAAAAACGGTCTCGGAATATATGAAATGCCAGCAGATGAGGTACAAGAAACTCAACAGGAAGAAGTTCAGATACAACCAGACATGGAAGAAATAGTTCAGCAACAACAGCTAGAAGAGCCTGAAGGAAACGAACAAGTTCCTCCTTTGGAAACTAACTTCACAGAACTAGATGAAGATTTGGAACAGCCGAAAAATCTTGACCCTCAACAAGAGTATGAGGTGAATATGGAATCTTTCCAAGAGCCTAAGAAAAATTCGGCTGACATAGTAGAAGAATATCGAAAAATGTTCACCGACATACAAAAGACTCCAACATCAGATGAAAATATTCAGCATAGAATGGAAGTACTGAAAGAAAATGTACGCAAATACAATAATCCTTTTTACTTACGACCATATAACGTTCAATCTTTGGCTGAACTCGGTGAAAATAAAAGGTTAAATTTCAACAAAACATATAGAAATGAAACATTGTTTAAAGTTCATTCAGAACCTAACCAATATGGAAACAAACCTACTTTTGTTTCTGCAGACTATGGAACTACAATGAGATGGGGTCATAAAGCTAATCCGGATAGGTGGTTCATAAACTTACAACCTCAATTCCAAGAAGTTGTAGACGCAATGGAAGTGAATGGTGAACCAGATATAACTGGTATTTTCAGCGCGGCTTTAATGCCATTGAAAGATATGAAAGATGCAGATATTTTGGACCGGTATGAAATGAACATGGCTGAGGGAAATATAACACCTGACGTTCTAGAACATTTATCTCAAAGAACTACACAGAACCATAGAGATGGTATATTTGGTGAAGAGTTTAGAAAGAAAGTTAGGGAGAGAGAAGGAAGAGAACCTATTGTACATGACCTTGCAAACGAAAGTTTGCAAAATGTCATAAAAACTTACTTTGCAGACAATGAACTGAGAAGGGATGAATATTTAAGAAAACTCAAATGGACAGTACCAAATGAAATGTTAGTATTGAAAAACATGTTCCATGACAAAATAAAACCAACTACAGAAATAAATGACGCAAGACTGAAACGTTGGGTAAAAGCTTTCCCATTCACAAAAGATATTATTGGTTACATGGAAAGAAAACCAGAATGGCTACAAAAACATATATTTGGAAACGAGCTTATTCCATATGGACAAGCTATATTTGAAGAGCTTGAACCGGAAACTCAGGAAAGAGTCATGCAAACAATAAGCGAAGACTCAAATACAAACTATGACAAAATCTTTCTAGGATATAGGTTACCTGAGATGGGCGACCAGAGCCCAAAGGCAAAAAGGACATGGGAAATTTACAACATACTAGGTGAACATGAGGCAAAGATGCTACAACTTGAAGCAGAGGGCAAGTTACCAAAAGCGACACCAAAGAAGAAGAGAAGAGTAGAACAAAGTGAAAGTAGTGAAGAAGTAACTTCATCTAGTGAAAGTAGTGGCAATGAAGGAAAAAGAAGAGTTAAAGATTCAGTTAAAAACTCAGTCAGGAAGAAAGTAAAGCTTGGTCCGAGTGGGTTCTATTATGACATATAAATCCAACTATTCTATATTTTTACCCATATGAAATGTACGCCGCTCAGAATATAACGCCAACAGTTTTGGATGCCATGAACGGAAATGTTTCCGAATGGTATAACGAATGCGACAATGCCATTAGAAGGTCAGAAATAGTTCCTGGAACTTACGAATATACAACTGCTGTTTCTTATGGAAACGTAGGTGAGTTTGGAGAAGGTTCTTCAACAACAGTAGATATTGCTTGCGACAGGTTTCACATTATTTCTATTGACAACTCATTCTTATACGTGGAACAAGACATTGAAATAAAACCTTCTGCTGACTTGAGAGGTAAGAAAGGTTGCAATGGTATTTTCTATGTCGGATACCAATATGCTCCAGAAGTTTTTATGGGATATAAGATATATTCTAACTCTGACTTAGTTCAAACAGTAACATGGGCAAACTATGAATGGTTCGCTTTAAGAAACTCAGTACAACCACAAGCTAGAGAACAAACAGACCAGTATGCAACTATTGAGAAAATAAGAAGACTTGACCCTAACGTTCCAGGAGTTTATGTTAACCTTTCTGGTTCAGATGGAACTGCTGCCACTAAAGTAAAACTGAAACTTAGAGTTCCTTTGTCATCTTTCCTCATCTTTAGGTTCTTAAGATACTTACCAAACTGGGCAGGAAAAATTTCTATCGAACTTACTCCAAGCAAAAATAACTTAGTCATTGCACCAACACAAGACCCATTCACTATTACAGACGTAAAGGGAACAAATCAAACGTCATTCGCCGAATTTTGCAAAGACAAAGTTGACTTAGACTTTGGTTTCTCAAACTTCAACAATGAAGTAAACTATTATTTCAATGCTGCTGGAACTGCTTGGGACCCAGTTAAGTTCACATGCGAAAAATTTGAATGCAAGAGAATAGAAAGCAGACTTGCCGTTTATATGTTGGACCCAGATATTTCAAATGCTTTAGCTGCCAAATATATTGCAGTTCCACTTATGTTCCCTATACACCAAATATCTGTCAAAGACTTTGCAGGTGAAGTTGGAAACCAAAATCCAGGAGCCGCAGGTGCAAGAACAGATATTGCTTTAACAACTGCAATGAAACATGCAGATACTATGTTTGTACTGTTCAGACGAACTATAAATGACTATTCTTGTTTCTACAACCCTGGTATTAAATATCATATAAACATAGATGGCAAATATTATCCAAGAGAAGAATATTCTACAGTTGAGGATATGAGGTCATACAACTTGACATTAGATGCTATGAACTTTAACAACAACTTCACAACAACTATTAACCCTGAAATGCAAAGTTCTATTATGCCATATGTGAAAGTATGGACTCATACAGGAGGTCAAAAAACTCAATATACAAATGGAGACCGTTCAAACTTTTGGCTTGGCATTCCATTTGCTGACTCAGAAGACTTTATGGGTGGTATTTCAACTGTTGGTACAGTTCAAATACAATATACTGGTGACAGAGACGGTCCAGATGAATTGAGAGCAAAGAAGTTTACAAAACCAATAGCACTTTTCACGGAAGATGCTCTTTTGAAGATTCGTTCGATGAAACCTGCTGGGGCTCCTCAGATTGGCATAACGACAGCTTCCATCGAGCAGATTTTGGCAGCAGGTCAGTAAGTTGTTCTTGAACTGACTTCTCTCCGTCAAATATTGACAGTACGCCAGTTTTGACATAATATTGTATTATAAACTTTCCTTTAGTAATATCGGTCAGTTTTGAAGTTATATTTTTGTCTGCTTCAAGAACTTTCACCATTTCAGTTATACCAACTTTCTTTGCTTTATGAAAATATTTTGGTTCAGCAAAGACTGCTATTCTATAACATTTTCCATTTTTTGTGTAAAGAACTATTCTGTCAATGTATTTGTATTGTTTGTGAGTATAAACTTTGTTCTGCTTCCATTCAATAAGATATCCGAATACGTCCATCTTTTTATTCTAAGTAAAATGTCATTTCCGAAAAATAGAAGCGTAAGTGTTTCAAAAGGTTTAATGGCGGTGGCAGATGTGAAGTTAAATTCACCAACTCAAACAAACAGTCAAAGTGTTATTGTCAATGTCAAAGACAGAGATGTTGAAGTGGGGAAACCATACGAAGACGAAGATGGTATAACAATTGTTCCTGTAAAAGAACCAACATATCCTGAAGTTAACAGAGACTTAAGTTCTGTTGCAGATATTCGAAACGACTACCAACAACTGAAAGACAAACTTCAAACTCAGGAGAAGATTTGTCAAGCTTTAAGTATAATGTTAAACTTGGTCGAACACAACCCTGTAAAAGTGAACTCATATGTCATTGCACCTCATGAAGTTTTGAAAGAACTATTGAAACTTTTGACAGAGGCAGACGATATAAACATCAAAGAAATAGAACCCGACATTGGTTGCTGTGGTGTTTCATATAATGTCATTGACAAGATATACGTTATGAAAGGAGGTGAAACGTTGAACTTAAAATATAGTTTCCCAGACGTTATAAAAATATTTGACGACCACAACATTTCATTAAAATTTATTTGCTAAGTAAATGGCAGAAGACATAATGGTTTATACTATTACGACTAAAAACCCTGAGTCATATAATTCTATAACAACAAACTTACAAAGTCCTCAAGGACGATATTGTAAACTAACCTTAAACACAATGACGACTAAAGCCTGTTTTGCTCTTTTGACACCAGAAGACTTTATTGTTGTGAATGGTAAAAAATACTCCTTTGAAGATACTTACTCAGATATACCACCAACAGGTTTTGTTGACTTATTTAATACTTTAAGTACGGGTGTAACATGTGCTGCAACTAGAGCAGGTTTCATTATGTTTGGATGTCCGACTGAGTTTACTATAAACGATATGAGCTATAATACAAAACTTATTTCTGGTTTTTACTACCAACAGTTTCCTATAACAGGAAAAGGTGTCATACAAGGAATGTCTATTCCATTGACATTAAGCACACCAATCTTATATATTGTTTCAAACTTAGGTTCAAAGTGTTATTCGAATGTCGACAGAAACTATTATGACCAAAAGATACTTATGCGTATAAACAATACTTTCTCTGCTGGTTTGCCTATTGTTCATTCGAATGCAGAATTTTCAACCTTAGTGAACTCAAACACTTTGGCAAGTATAACGTTGACATTAGTTGACGCAAACTTTGTTCCTGTAAAACTTTTATGTCCTATGTATTTGTCAATGACGGCAGAAAGTTTCGAATTGGAAGATGCAACTGGTGAAAGTATTGTATTACAAGAACAACTTCAACAACAAATAGCTCAAGAACAACAAATGCAACAAATGGAACAACAAAGTCAAGAATAAAAAAAATATTTTTTTTATTTTTATAAAAATGTACAGAATAGATGTTTCAGATTTTTATGACTTCCAAGCATTCAGAAATATGTGTCCATTTAGAGACTATAACAAAGCAGTCGAGAATTTGAAACGTTTAGTCATTTATGTTGACTCTGCCCCAGAATGTTATGTCATGAAAGAATGGGATGTTGTCTTTAACAAACCAAGAGCAACAATAGTGTCTGAACAAGAATGTAGACAGAAACTTAAGAAAATAAAAGTTGTACAAGTTGGAATGAAGATGTTAGATGCTTGGGATATCTTATTGTCAAAGTTAGAAGATTTTTCAGTTCGAGGTATAAAGTTCTATACACCTTCTCCAAACTTCTATTCTATCTTCACTGGATATAAATACGAACAAGTAGAATGGAAACACAGTATTATAGAAGCTTGGTTAGACCATGTCAAAGAAATTATATGCAATGGAAACGAAAGAGTCTATGAGTATATCTTATGTTGGTTTGCAAATATCTTACAACATCCAAGTGCTAAAAATGAAACTGCTCTCATTATAATTGGAAAACAAGGAACTGGTAAGAATACTTTCTTTACAGATATTTTGTGCAAACTGTTAGAAGGTTATTCGAATCCGAATATGACAAACTTAGAAAACATCTGTGGCAAGTTTAACTCCTCAATAGAGAATATGAAACTTATAGTTTGCAATGAACTTCAAAGTATAGATACAACAAAAGTTTTGAACTCAGATGCTTTGAAGAGTCTTATAACAGACAAAGTTGGAGTTGTTGAAAGAAAATATAAAGACCAAAGAGTTTGTGAAAATGTTGCAAACTTCGTTATGGTTTCAAACAATGCTGTTCCGATGAAGTTAGAAAGTTCTGACAGAAGATATGTAGTTGTCAGAACGTCAGATTCTCATATGCAAGATACAGAATATTTTGACGACTTAGCAGAAACTTTGACATCTGACTTTTACAACCACTTGTTCTCATATTTTATGACATTAGATATTTCAAAGTTCAATCCAAGACAAATTCCACATACCGAAGAGAGACAAACATTGTTAGAAGCAAACAAGAGTGTATATGAACTGTTCATAGAAGAAAGCGACTTTGAGTGTTTAGATGAATGGTCAATATATAATGAATATAAACAATATTGTCAAGAGTATGGTTATATGCCAGCGTCTAAACGAACATTCTTGGCAAATGTCAAAAGTCTTTTAGATGTTCAGAATGGTGTATATACAAAGAAAATTTTTTCTGAGTAAATTTTAAAAAAAATATTTTTTTATCCGATAGAAAAGATGACGAAATATATTTCAGTAAACAAGTACATGTCAGGACTTAAAGAAGAACTAGACCCATTCACATATTTGAATGTTTACTTCTACCATTTTGAAAAGTCTTCATTCAGCAAAGTTTGGAACATCGAACCAGTTAAGTTTGCTATTGTGACTAAAAATGGTGCGAAATTTGAAGACTTAGACATAGAAGGTTTGTTAACAGTCAAAGAAAGTTTTGACAGAAGGTTCTCAAACCTTAAAGAAGGCAAAGCATACAAACTTGTTATACCTTATGAACCAAAGAAGACAGACGACTATGAATATTATGAGTCTAAAGTTGTAGAAGTTCAAGGTATATTGGGTAAAAAGCTATTAGAGTCTAAGCCAGTGTTTACTCCTAAAGAGGAAGAGAACATTGACATTGACCCAGGAATGTTCTAAAAATAAAATTTTATTTTTACATGTCAAATTTCTTTTTCTCTGGAACTGGTTCAGGTTCTTTCTTCTCTTCTACTTTTTTCTCTTTCTTTTCTTTCTTCTTCTTCTCTGGTGGAGATATGTCAAATTTCTCAGAACCATATTTATGTAAAAGTTCTTTGTCCTTTAATAGCTCATCTATTCTGTTTTCTATTTCATCTTCAAGAACAGCGCATGTGTCTTCTTTGCATTCTAAGAACTTTTGTTGGACTTCATCTTTCCAATCGGCGTCATCTCTGTCAACAAGTCTGTCATTGACAAATTTTAAGACTGCTCTTTGTAATGTTTTATGGTTCTTGTCATATTCCCAGAAACAGAACTTTAGAACAAATTCACCTTTCTTGTTTACACTATGTAAGATTTTATGGTCGACAGATGTTTTGCTGTCAAAAAGCTTGTCTCGAATATAGATAGCGAAATCGCTAGACATTTTCTAAAAGATAAAAATTTTAATTTTTCTAAAAATATGTTAGAAAAAAAGTTTGCTGACATTGACAAGAAATTTGAGAATGTTTTAAACAAGAACAAGAGGAAGTTAGAAAATGCTCAGATAAAGCCTATACATGAAAAGTTCTTATTTGCTCAGAATGGTATAACAGGTCTAATTGCACCACCTGGGTCGGGTAAGACTTTCACTTATCTTAAAATGGCTGCACAACAACAAGAACTAGATGAGAAGAACCCATTCTATGAGTTAGTTGTTATTTGTTCGACTTCTGGTCAATTTGACCAAACCGTCAATTCGTTCAAAGATATTATAAAGAAGTCTAAGTTAGTATGTATAAAGGATACTGAGTTGTTAGATTGGATAAAGAAGTACCAAAGAAGAGTTTTGAAGTATAATGCTATAAATGAGTATATAAATTCTAAGTTTAAAGACCTAATGAGGAAATGCAGAGAATATTAGACAAAAACACTTCAGAAACAAACAGAAAGAGATAGAATACATTTCGAAGAAATTGCAATCTTACGATTGGAAGACTTACCCTCACAGATGTCTTCTTATCTTAGATGATTTGCTCTCATCCTTTGTTAAAGAATAGAGAACAAGACATGTGTCGAATTCTTAAGAAGCTCAGACACTTTAACATCTCAGTTGTCATTTGTGTACAGACAGCAAAGAGTTTAAGTAAGGATGTTAAGAGAATACTGACTGACATAATACTTTTCCCCGGATTGTCCGAAGACGATTTCATGGAACTTATGAAAGAGTCCATGGCAGGTAAGTTTGACAGACATGAACTATGGGAGAAGTACAAAGTCATACAAGACCCTCATACTTCTTTCAGAATTCATATCTACGCAAACAAAGTTCAAATTGTTTCAAGACAAGCTTGAAAAATGTAAGTGTTTGAGTCTTAGTAAGGATATCTCTTCGCAAAGCATATGCCGTCCTTGAGTTTTAGGTACGTGAAGAGAAGTACAATGAATTCAATTACGAGTACAATTGCAATGACAACTAAGGCAACTATTTTTATCTTTTGCCAGCAAGGGTACTTCTTCTCTTCCAATGGTTCGGCAGAACTATACTCACTCATGAGAAATGCCAAAACGGTTTAATAGAAAAAGTGTCATTTTTTTATGTCCGAAGACTCGAAGGTGCAACACTTCCAAAATACTGACGAACTCAGAAGAGCAGCATGGCAGTATGTTCTTGACAACTTCTTTGAGTTCTCCAGGTACACCTTGGAAAATGCTGAAGAACTCCGACACAGAGAATTTGGAGAAATTGCACTCCAATACTACCTTGACAAACAAAGGGTAAACAAAGGGTAAAATAAGACTAAAAACTTAACGTTTAAAAAGTGACATTTTTATGAGCTCCGAGTCACCGAGAAAACTTGGTCAGATGTTAGCAGCTTACTTCCCTGAGGAGGATGGAAGCGTTACATACATCAGGTTCAAAAACAACGAACCTGGAATTGCGTACCAAATTCGCAATTACATGACCATGGAAGAGTACGAAAGGTTTCTACAAGAGAAACCAGCTCTAAACAACTCAGAAAAGAAAGAGTAAAAAGTTTAATTCGTAATTGTTTATTTTTTTACTTGTAAGGGCAAGCTGCAAGTATGAAGTCGACTATCTCCGTCTTTGTTTTGACGAGCTGGACGGCTCTTGCGAGTACGTCTGTTTTGCGGTCTCCAGCTGGTGTCTGACCTTCGTAATTGCGCATGTTCTTGAGAGCTCCAACTGTAAATGGTTGTAGGATGAAGAGTCTCTCAGACTGCTTGAGGTAGTCTCTCACGGTCACGAACCGAATCTGTGGTACGAGTCGAATCGGTCGATTTGAGGGAAGAGACTGAAAGCCTGTCGTCTTCCATTGGAGCTGTAGCATACTCTTTGCGTAAGCGGTTCAGACCTTCTTCGAAGTCTTGGTCTCTCTTCGATTGAGATTGGAATTGGAATTGCTGGGGTGGAGCTTGCTGGAACAACCAAGGGTTGGGGAAGTAAGGCATAGGCTGAGGAGGGTAGTTCGGGAAGCCTTGTGGTGGGTAGTAACCTTGAGGTGGAAATTGGTAGTAATTCGGAGGTACTTGCTGGAACTGAGGTTGCTGAGGAGACTGTTGTGGTTCTTTAGGTTCCTCTGGTTTGGGAATGGACTCGGTTGGTGGGACGTCAGTCATCCGTTTGTGGCTTAACCGTCGGACCACAACGATAAAAATCTCTGCTACTAGCAGTACTTTTACTGACAGTAGCAGTACTTTTACTGACAGTAGCAGTACTTTTTCTGACAGTAGCAGTACTTTTACTGACAGTAGCAGTACTTTTTCTGACAGTAGCAGTACTTTTACTGACAGTAGCAGTACTTTTACTGACAGTAGCAGTACTTTATCGTCGAAAACCCTCTCAAATTTTCCTTTTTACTGACAGTAGCAGTACTTTTACTGACAGTAGCAGTACTTTTTCTGACAGTAGCAGTACTTTTACTGACAGTAGCAGTACTTTTACTGACAGTAGCAGTACTTTTTCTGACAGTAGCAGTACTTTTTCTGACAGTAGCAATGGTCGAGGTCGAACCTACCGACGAGGCAATTTACCTAATTGAAATTAACGAGCTTGTTAAAGACTTCCTCAGGCAGAATGTAAAAGGCAAACTTGTTAACGGTTGGATAACGGGAAGGGCTGCCTTGACTCTCGAGATTTCGACTGGAATTCCAATTGAGGTACCAGAAGGCACTCCTTTCGACGACATAAAGCAAGCAAAGAAGGAAGCCATTATAAAGTTCTTTGCCAAGCGTCCTTGGATACTACTTCCAAACAGAGAGAACCCTTTCCCAAGAATGAACCAAATTCTCAAGGGTCTCCTTCACTTCTCTGGTCAGCCGTTCTACATAACCTGTGAAGGCGACATTCAGCCAGTTCAGTAAACATCTCATTTTAACTCACTTTTTTTATGTTTTTACTCACACTCGTACTCACCAGGTATGAGTACAACTATTTCAACTGTGAACCTTGTAGTGACCGGTCTTCCTGCAAATGCAAGTTCGGTCAATACACAGTTTATGGTGGCAAGAAGGACAGTGGGGAATGCGCGCTCGAGAGAGAATTGAAATTCCAGACCCAACTCCAACAAGAACTCTCAAGTTGCCAAAGACTCATGTGAAGAAGAAGTCATATAACAAAGCACTTATAGCCATCTATATGGCATGTTTAGAGTAAAAACATTTTTTTCATTTTTTGAATGAAGCAAGTTAAATTCGTCCCACACCAAACTCAATGGACCGATGAAGAGTTTCAAGCTATGGTTGAAGGTGTTGAGAACGACATAGACGGCGAACTTGAAGGAGCTCAAACCACAATTGCAACCAAAATTGCACAAGTCAAAGAAGAGATAGCTCCACTTAAAGCTACCAAAGCTACTCTTGACCTCATGGATAGTTACCGTTTAGATGTCAAGAGTGGAATAAGACAATTAAAATTAAAACTTCTAAACTACGAAGCTATACTCCAAAAGTTAGCAGAAATGAGAAGACTTTACCAGAGCTACTTACATGTAAGGGACTTACCTTCAAGCAGTCCGACCAAAGATGAATTTTCTGACATTGTCCCAATTTTGTCCGAAAGTCAGCTCAGATGTTTCGAACTGCTCCCAACATATCCAGAATATGAACGTTTGCCTGAACTCTTCCGCAATCTCAAAAAACGTTTTTTGGTTCTCATGTTCGAAACTTTTATCGGAAGAGACAACAAACGTTCAGAAGAAGAACAAGATATTATTTTAAACTTGTTGTATGACTTAACTGTCATAACCAGCTTTTTGAAGTAAAACCGTCATTCTCAAACCACTTCATTTTTTCGATGTCCGAACAAGCACCGAGGCCAAACTCAATGGAAGATGTCCTTTCAAGGTTGCCAGACAAGCGCCCAGTTCAACTTCAAATTATGAATTTGAAAGCTCATCTGACAAACACCATTAAGACTCTCCAAAGTAGTCTTATGACAGAGATGAAGGAACTTAAAGGTGAGTTCCTCATGAACCAAGCTTCCAATGAGAAATGCCTGAACGATTTCTCAGAATCGTTGCGCAATTACGAGAGAGAGAACCGAGACCTTGCCAGACTCATCTACCGTTTCTTCGAAGAGATAGACGCCATCTGGAAGGTACTCGGAAAGGACAGAACATGCAACACCGTACTTCGTGAGTACCAAATTGAAGAAGGAATTGTCGAGGAAGAAGAGGAAGAAGAGGAAGAAGAGAAACACGAAGAAGAGGAAGTTTGGGCAACCCTTGTTGCCGATGACGCTTACGAAATTTCCCAACCCTACCCATACCAAATCCGCAACAAGGAGACAGGCAAGGTTTCTTACCCCAGTCCTCAACAACTTGGGACACTTGAACCTTAACCTTCGGATCGCGGTTCAATCTCCATGGGCAAGCTTGTCGCAATTCAATGGGTTCCAAATCCAGACAAGAAGACGAAGGTCAGACACATTGACGGTGACAAGCTCAACAACCGTAAGGAGAACCTCGAGTGGTTCTAAGAGTAAAAAAATTTATTTTAGGGGGAAACCCCAAGTAAATTTAAGTTTTTATTTTTGGTATTGGTACCAATTTTGGAATGTGAAGACCACATCCCAACCTCTGTACGTGAGTCTTGGGTCCACGTCTAAGACCCTTCTGTAGCAATTCCAAGCCCGAGCAAATTCAATTGTCAACCACTCGTCTCCTCTGTAGTCTTCAATCCATTCTTTGAAGAGACGGTTGAGTTCGAGCCTGGAATATCTCTTGCCTGGGTCCGAGACCAACATTTGGTTGAACTGGACGAAGCGCTCAGGGATGTACGCCATTTAAAAATGTCACTTTTTTGAAAAACGTTTTTACTTCATGCAATGTTTAACTATTTCACCATCTTCTTTAACACCCCAGTACTTACGCTTGGAGAGGACATGAACTTCGGTGAAAATTTTGTCCAATTTGAATTGACCCATCTTTTCACCGACCATTCCCATTTCAATGAGTTTGTTATAGCCTTCTTCGTTCGTCATGAGCGCATCGATGTTCTCATAGTAAACCTTCACTTTGGATTTAACTTCGGAGAAGAATTTGTTGTAGTTGTCAAGGACTGCCTTTGCGAACTGAGGGTAAGACCAATGTTCGACAATAGGTTTTAATGTGGTTACTAAGCCACTTTGACCTTGAGTGAATTCGTACTTCAAAACAAAAGGGGAGAACCTTTCAACAAAGTTGTCGACCTTCTCATAGTGTTTACTCTTCATCTCTTGAGGTTTCTTAATGGAATATCCCCATGTCGAATTCATAAGCAATTTGAGTGTCATTGCAAGTTTGGGGTTTGAAGCTTTCCTAATATCATACAGTTGTTGTATGACTTTTCCAACTGTATAGTTCCTTCCCGGGAACTCACCATCTTCGTTTGGAATTCCAGTCGGGATATATTGGACAAACCTCATGTATGCAGCGTTAAGGTCGACATAGTATATCTTTTCATCTGAGTCGAACTTGTCGCAACCAATTGGTCCAGTTTGTGGAAATTCAAGTGAGTCTCTTATCTTCTGAGAAACTTCTCCTGTTATCTCATAAACATCGTCGAAGCAACCTGTTTCATATAAAACCTTCTGACCTAACTCAGATGCTCTCCAATACAATTTGACGTCAATTGGATGTCTCAATGGAAGTTTGTTTATAGCATCTTGAAGTTCTTGCAACCTCATTGGAAGTTCTTCTGGTTCAGGTTGGTATCCGAACAATCCAACTCCTTTTGGAATTGTGTACTTCTTTTGTACTAGAACTTTGTCTGGAACAACTTTTGGTCTTGCTAACAATGAAAAGTTTGTTTCGTCTTTTGGTACAAAAGTTTCTGTCAGCTTGTCATCTGGAATTGGTTCCAACAAACCTTTCTCGAAAAGAATGTTAACAGCTCTGACAATGTTGCACTTGCCTTTTCCGAACAATGGGTTTGTAAGACTTTCGTTCAACATGAAGTGGTTGTGGACAATTACAATCTTCAACCATGGTAAGTCTTTGTCAACAACATAGTCGTCATGTGAAGAACCTTTAGCTGTAGGTATGTTGACTCGGATATTGACATTTGCCAACGGTGCAACTTTTGCCAATTGACCTCTAAGAATGTACCTTGTCTTCACACATGACTCAAGATACTTCATCTTCTCATCTGTAACAAGACCAGAGTTCCTGAGACATGTAAGAATACAAGGTTCATTGACAATTGTTTCAATTGAATTGTAAATTCCATACCTTGTCAAGTCAATGTCAGACTTATTTATGAACGGGAAGTATCCAGCATGTTGTCTGACTGCTTGAGGGTTAGGTTGGTACCATTCAAATTTTACACTTGCAATTCCTTCAATTGCATTCAAAATGTCTGAGTCGGAGTCAAACATTTGTTCTCTCTTTGTAGTCTTGAAAGCGTCAAGAAGTTGTGCGGCTGTTGTGACATTGCCATGTGCATAGTAAATGTGACCGTCCAAATCTGTTACGGTTAGTCTGAGATTGTATCCTTTCTTATTTCCGTCTTGTATGGCAGCAAGTACTCCCATGAAGCCTTCTTTGTTCTTTCCTTCGTCAAAGTTTACTGTAAAGGTTCGACCAGATGTAATTTGACTTCTAACTTCACGGTACTTTTCATATGCATATCTTGTTCTTTCCATGGGAGCATGTTTGTCTTCACCTTTTCCTTTTTTCCTTCTCAAAGGATACAATTGTTCGTCATGTTTCCAATAGAATCTGGCAAAGCCGTCGTGTCCTTCAACTTGCGGTTCAGAAACATCGAAAGGCATGTCCATAAGACGTTCTTCTTCTAACCTCTCTAGTCTGTTTGGATAATTTGCGCGTGCTGTTTCCAATTCCATTTCGTAGCGAAGACCAGACAATTTGTCATAGACTTTTATGGGTCTTCCCTTCCTATATTTAAAATTCTTCGAAACTTTCCAACCATATCTTTGCAACTCTGCTTTTATTCTAGCAGATTTTCTATCCATTCTATATGGGGCATTTTTATAAAAATAAAAAAATGTTTTTTTCTTTACTTTACATAACCACCGGCTGCCATAAGTCTTTGACGCCAACCCATACCAGCTAATGAAGGTTGACTTGGTTTAGTATTGAAACTAACCTTTGGTTTTGGTTTATCTTCAGTTTTTGGCTTCCCTTCTTCTATTGGTTTTTCGTCACTTTTCGGTTCCTCTGACTTTACCTCACCTGCAGGAACAGTTGTGTCGTCAACATCTTCATAAATATCATATGCCATTTGTTTTTGTTTTCCTTTCAACTTTTTGTGTTTGTTGTAAAGTTTAGAATATTTCGACTCTAAGTCAATGAGATGTTCTATAATGAACTGTTGGTCAGTGAAGTAAACTTTTCCATCTGTTGTCTCGAAAGCTCCTTCAGACTTCAATATTTTATTTGTGAGAGTCTGTTTCTTTTTTGAGATACTAGCCGTTCCATTTCTATGAAAAGTGACTTTATAGTTAGGGTTTGTATTTCCAGACCTGGCACTTTCTATTATTGAATTTTTCTCTTCATCTGTAAGTTCTTTGACAGGTTTTGACAATGGTTCTGAACTTTTTGTTTGTGGTGTCAAATCTACCGTTTCAACTTCTTCGGTCATTTCATCTCAGTAAAAAATTTTAGTTTGGTTTGTTTTCAACTGGTTGTTGTTGTTTTTTAAGTCGGTCTAAAACTTCCTGAGGTATAGGAAGAACTTGACAAACACGTTGTGTAACTGCTGGAAGTCGACAAATCCATCTTGAACCCATTTGTCTCAATGCTGTATTGTTCATTTCATCCTAGTTAAAAATTTTACATTCCCCACGTTTGAGGCGGTTGAGGTTGGTTATTGTTTACCCATTGTTGTGCATGGTTATATCCTCTGTTAAAGAATCTTTCACCTTGGTCCATATAGTGTCCTGCTTGGTTATAGTAGTCATTTGCTTTGTTATAATAGTTTCCTGCTTGTCTTCCTACATTGTCCATCCATCCTTGAACTTTTCCTCTTGTTTCAGGATTTGGAATAAGATTTGCTGCATCTCGTGCTACATCCCAACCTTTCTGTACAGTTTGTATAATAGGTTGTGCTTTCTCTTTAAGTATACCTAATGTACTCAAAATCTTCCTTCCAACTCCAAATACACCTCTGGCTATTGTTCCCACTGCGGGTAAAAATCTAGATGCAACTCCTGCTAATGCGCCAAATAAACCCATTTCTTATGGGTTAAAAAATGACGAATCCAAACAAGGACCCCTATGTTTCTAAGGCAACAAAGAAAGCACTCATGATAAAAATCTTTAGTTCAACACCAAATGCTTGGTTTATGGATATCTTGGAAAACATTCCGAGGTATAGAGAAGATGGACCACCATACTGGCTAATATTTGTCGGTCAAAACACAAGATACTGTGAAGCCATACCATTATGGTCCAAAAATATTTTAGATGTGAAAACTGCTTTGACAATATTCGTTGACAAATACCATCCAACAAAACTGACATCTGACTGTGAAAGTTCTTTCAAATCAGATGATATTAAAAACTATCTGCGTTCAAAAAATGTAAACCAATATTTCATTGTCGACCAAAACCATTCTGCTCTTGGTGTCATTGACAGTTGTATAAAAATCTTAAGAGACTTAAACCAACCACAAGGTGGTGAAGCAAATGAAATGTCATATGACGACAAGTACAGACACTTCTCCATGGCAAAGATGAGACAAGTTTTAAATATTTACAATACCCGTAAACAAAAAGGTTTGGGAAACCACTCCCCCGAAGAAATGAAAAACAACCCTGACTTAGAGAAAGACTATATATTTAACAATTTAGTCAAAAGAGACAAACAAGAAAGAATGCCAGGCTTCAAACTTAAGAAAGGTGACAAAGTAAAAATAGAAATACCTAAACGCGACCCATATGAAAATACTATTGACTATGACAACAATGGGAACCCGACAGGTACTCACATTCGTGTTCGTAAAAATAGAAGAAAGTATACAAGAGAATATTATGAAGTTTTAGGCAAACATGGCAAAATGTACAGACTGCAAGCAGAAGATAAAACTACTATTGTCAGACCTCGTTTCAAACTTGTCAAAGTTCAAGGTGGTATACTTTCAAAGACAGTTCCTAACAAATATAAGACAACTCCTGACGAATATGCTAAAGAAGTTGAAAATGACGACTAAGCATTTCTATACCATGCGTAAACTGTCATGTAAGGTGGCATGTAGTCTTTACTTTGTCCCGTTGTTTGCGTATACCCTGAAACGCGATGTGTATGGCTTCCTCCTACCTCAGTGTTACTCCAGTAACAATTTATAGCAAACTTAACGTCCTCTTTAACATCATATCCTTTACCTTTTGTCATTCCTGACCAATCCCAAAATCTATGACTATGCAAACCTGCTTCAGATGTACTTAAATTTATGTAGTGACTGTGCGCAGGTAAATTTGCACCTGAAATCGTTTTACTTCCACCTGTTTCCTTTGAAGAGTTTGCACAATACAAAAACCTGTCGACTATTTGAGTCCAAGTTCCGAGACCAAGTACTACTTCTGGTTTGGTAGAGTTCATTGACGTGTAAATAGAACCTATAGGATATAGTGTTTGAAGTATTTCTGTCTTTAACGTTTGAAGCTCTGTTTTGTCAGCTTTTTTATCTAACTCATCGTTAACATATGTTTTGTCAGCTTTGTTGTCATATAAATCTTGAGCAGTGAATTTAACTTTGTTTTCATCCTCCATGACAAAAACATTTCTACATCTAGTGTATTTCATCGTTGTTATGTCTTCATCCGATGTTAAACCTTGTGGAAAGTTAGGAGGTTTCCAATTTAATACATCCCCACCAGTTCCATCAGGTTCTTCAACCGTTCCTGCAATATTTTCTATACCAACAGTTGCGAAGAAATCGTGTGTATGTCCAACGTCACTTTTCCTGTTTAAGGTTTCTTGTAAGTTTGTAATATTTGCAATGGTATGTGTATGAGTCTTTTTAGAATATTCGTTTTCAGCTCTTGTCACTTCACTTGACATTTTATTGTCAACATATGTTTTGTCTGCTAGTTCAGGATGAGTATGTTCTTTCGTTGCATATGTTGCATCTGCTCTGTCATGTTCTTCTTGAACTTTTTCAATGACATACTCTTTGTCAGCTTTGTTGTTAACATCTGCTTTTGTTGCATATGTTGCATCTGCTCTGTCATGTTCTTCTTGAACTTTTTCAATGACATACTCTTTGTCAGCTTTGTTGTCAACATCTGCTTTCAAAAGAAGTTCATCTATAGGTTTCTCGTTTAAAGTTCTTTTTGTTGGATTTATACAAACAGTATGGTTCTTACTGTCTTGAAACAGAAACTCGTCTGTCATTGGGTTTATCGTCAGTTTTAAGTTTCCTTCTTTCAATGACTCAGATATCTTAGAATAGTTTGAAAAGTTTGTTGTGTTCTTATTTAGAGCTTGCAAAATGAGTTGTCGGTTGTGTTGTATTTCTCTCATAGACGCTGTTTCTTTCGACATTTTTATTCTAGATAAAATATGCTTTCAATAGAAAAAGAAAATTCAAGAGTTGCTACAACTAAACCATTAGATGAACTTTTTACTAACGTAGGTCAAAAGTTTGAGACAGAGACCGTAAAGCATGAAGGCTATCGTTTTGACTACCCACTTAGATGGTTAAGAGACCCATCCGTCACAAAAGCTATTGGCTTTCGTAGAATGAAGTTCATTTCAGAAGCCATACATGGTTTCCCATTTACGGTCGCTTTTGAAGTTCGATACTATAACAAAGAAAAACATACGTATGAGAAATTTGAACAGGGAAAACTTTTACAAGTGAATTTGCTTGTAAATTTAGAAACAACTCTTCAAGCTTTTCAAGAAAAAATAAACGATATCTATCTCGAATATGCAAAACAGTACAACATTGACGAAGGAGAGTACCATCTCGATATTATATATGACAGGAAAAATGCAACTGTTAAAATCAATAGAATAGAAGACCTTGGAGAAGACGTTTATATTTCTACAAAATATAACAACTTGGCATGGTATAGATTTTTGAGGATGTTAAATCAGCCTGCAGAATATCCAGTACACCCGAACTTTTATGAAGTCGAAAACCCTAATGGAACATATGAAAATGTTTTCGACCAAGATGCTATTATAGTTCATGCTTCATTTTCTGGCGCACAAAACTCTTTTTTATGCTTGGCAAATGACTTTTACGAAAAACCTACAAAGCTATATGAACCACCAAGTGGAAGTATTTCAGACTTTCAAGTATGGTTTACTACAGATGGAAGAAAGAGAATAATTCCATTATACCACGCGTTTTACTTAGAACTTAGTTTCATATACAACTACTATCGAACGGTAAAAATATAATTTTAATACGGTTGAGGTGTTGGATTTGGTTGCCAACTTGACTGTGGTGCAGGTTCAGGCTGTTGTATAACAGGAGCTTGTTCTTCTGGTTCAGGGTCTTTAGGTATAATACCAACGAACTGACCTACTCTTTTACCAATATTTTTGACTCCGTTCCAAATTCCTCTTCCTACGGTTTTTATTCCATTCCATATACCTCTTCCAACATTTCGAAAGAAGTTTCCTATTCTTCCAAAGAAACCCATTTTACTATATGTAAAAATCTAATGTCCGCCTAGTCTCTTACGTTTCCTGTTGAGTTCCATAGCATTCTTTAACTGGAGCTCATACATTCTGTTTCTCCTCTGGTAGAAAACATATTCTGGGTCAACTCCTGTGTTCGCGTCATCTGCATAAAGTTGTTTATATCCCACTTCAGGGTTTGTATAAAACTCTTTCCATCTCATATTTGCATACCATGGTGGTAAGCCTAACGCAGCGTCATTTGACATGGCAGTTTGCATTTGTACATCTGTTGGCACTTGACCATAGTTTGCCATTGCAGTTTGTATTCTAACTTCATTTGGAATATTCTCTGGGTTTGGTTGTCCAGGTTGCTGT